TTAATGGATAATCCAATGACTAAAAAGGCTCTGGTACTTGTAAACTTTTTTCATATGCATTGAGTAATTATCAAAAATTTCTTGAGGAGGTGACCCCAAGGGATAAAATTTGCCTCTTGAAAATTTTATTTGATATATGCTTACCACAAAATACTAAATTCATCCAAAGTTCCAAAACCTTAAAAAATAATTTTTCGATCTATTGCTAAAAATTAACAGAAAAATAGATCAACCACACACAAGAACGCACAGATTTTACATGACTCACTCAAAATTAGGGCCATGTTCATAGATTACAAGATTTCACTATGTTAATAAAAGGGCACACGATACAAAAATTTCAGAATTAATAAATATCATACTTTAATTTCGTGCACTAGAACAACGTAGCAAGACCCAAATATATCAAAATACTCCCAAATAATCGGGCTTAGGTGTATAATACTTATGAGACTCCACACTTCCCATCGTTTTCCAGTTCTATTGTCATGACATTTGGCTCCAGTTTTAAACCCTTTTTTTTGGGTTCTTTTTTCCTTCCAAATAAAAAACATATATGGATCATTAATTCTAGACTGTTGTAGGTAGCCCAAGTCTTTTTAGTACATTCCCTCTCTCCACCATGCAGAAGCAAGATTTGGTTTTGAAAGCTGCAAAAAGGCCAAAGATTTGGTACATGCATCTGGTGTCTAAATCATGTTGTGCAAGAATGACTATAATGCATATATATATATACTCCTTTAATCAAACATTAATTTGAATTAATTATTTAATTAAGCTCTAGCTTGCAGTCATAGTCAACACTTATATATGTTGTTTGATTTTTGTGATGCTATTTTCTGTATGTCATTCTTATGATATAAGTATTGAATACTATTGCGTGTATATATATATATTATATTTATATATAACACTAATTTGTATGTATACATATATTATATTTTTACATATATAACACTAATATATTGTGTAACCTAACCTAATTGACTTCACTAGCACTATAGTAATGAAAGCATAAGAAAAGAAAATTCTGTAGTTGGTTGGTTTCATAACAATTTCTTTGAAGTTGACATCTCCCTTAATTATCATTTCACATATTAATTATTTAATTGTACTGATCGATCCCAAACTATGAAATATATATATATATATATATATATATATATATATATATGCAAATATTGCAACCATCCTCGCATTATTCTAACACAATATTGTTTGTCTTTGGTTCTCTCAAATCAGAAAATTTTCAGGCAGTCACCCATTTTGGTGTTACTTCAGGTTGGACGGGTGTGTGTGAGCGTGTGCAGGTGACACCAGAAGGCTACCACATTGGGCAAGCTACATGTACACAATCCCACATCGACTTGGTGTAAAAAGAGAAAGTGCTATATGTAGATTCAATATTTTTCTACAATACAATGCATTTTAAAACCGAGATGACTGTAAACTCATCATAACTCCAGAGTTAAGTCTGCTTAACTTGAAATAGTACCAAGATAGATGACCCCTGAAAAGTCTTTGATCCAGAGGGTACTTACATATATACTAAGTGTTCTTCAACTATATTAACAGAACCTAATTAAATTATAGAAGTATATAGCTAACAGAAATGATCATATATATATATCATGTGTACTTAATGTGTCTAAAAAAAATAATATGTTATTCGAGTATAATAAATAAACTGTTCAGTATTAATGCAGGAAGTATATGCATATTTTAATGCATTTTATGTATAATTATATAAAAATTTCTATGGTGTATATATATGTAAATTATACTTAGGAGAGGACCACAATTGACAAAACCTAGCCAAAGCACTTCAACATCCTCAATAAATTGTTAGTATAGAAAAAAATAGAAAATTAATATCATTTTATTATTGACAAATTCTCACCAATTTGTAAGCTTAATGCCCATTCAATAATCACTAATTGATAAAGTTCTTCAAATCTTATATACATGGAAAATTTAATAACAGTTACATAATCATATTCTTACAATCAATACACAAAGTTAACCTGATTAAAACTTAATCTTCCAAGCATTCAAAACTAACTCAATCTTGACCCCAAAAAAAAAAAAAAGAAAAAAGATAAAAAGAATGCAGTTTCAAAATGTAAGACCAAAGAAATGTCAATCAATTAATTCCCACAAATAAGATAATGGAAAGTAAAATTAGTAAAAATGTTCAAAATAAAGCAAGGTGTAAGAGACTATAATAGGGGACTTAGCAAGAATGATAATTTGTGAATAATTTTTTATTTTATATCAAAATTTTAATCATCATGGCTCGTGAATTTATTATAAATAATAATATCAATATTATGTGTTATAATGGCAGATTAAAAATTAACCTGATTATTAGAGATTCAATGAGAAGCTCATATCCACAATAAACTGTACATATTATTAAATATATACAATATATCATAATTTATACATCCAGTAGATATAATATATATGTGTGTGTGTGTGTGTGTGTGTGGATACCTTGTCTGGCTATTCAATTAAGGCTCGTCAGCTTGAGCCTGTGAAACTAGATAACTGATCAAAATCCCTTATGTTTGGTGTGCAGGAATGGAATCAAATGCAAGTGAAAATGGAATGAGAATAGGAATGAAATGGTCATTCTCATTATATTGTTTGGTTGTAAATATGAAATGTGTAGAAATAAAATGATAATAACCATTCTAGTATTTGGTTTGACCAATTTAAAATTTAGAATGGAATAAATTTCTAATTGAATTTTCCAAAATATCCCTCTTAGTAACAAATAAATTAAATTAAATTAACAAAATGATATTCTCTAATAATTTTTTTAAAAATAAATGGTGGCAGTGGCGGTGGTGGATGGTGGAAAGCGATAGTAGTGTAGGTAGTAGTGTTGGAAGGCAGCAGTGGTGGCAATGGTGGAAATTGGTGGCAGCAGTGGTGGTAGAAGGTGGCAGTGGTGTTGGTGGAAGGCGGTGTATTAGTGTGGTGGTTGTGCTGGAAAGAGATAGTGGTGTGACTATGGTGGTGGTGGAAGGCAATGGAAGTGGCGGTGGTGGTGGAAGGCAATAGAAGTGGCGGTGGTGGTAATGGTGGAAGGTGGTGACGGTGGTGGTGGTGGTGGTGGAAGGCAGCGGCGGTGGTGGTAACGGTAGCGGTGGCGGCGGTGGTGGTGAAAGGTAGTGGCGGTGGCGCTGGCGGTGGTGGAAGGCAGTGGCGGCGGCGTTGGTGGTTATTGAAGGCGACGGCGGTGGTGAAAGGTGGCGGTAGAGGTGGTGGAAGGCGGGGGTGGTGGTGTAAGGTTGTGACGGTGGCGGTAGTGGAAAGTGGTGGTGGTACTGAAAGGCGATAGCAGTGGTGGTGGTGGAAGGTGGTGGCAGTGGTGAAAGGCGATGGCGGCGGCAATGGTGGTAGTAGCAGTGGTGAAAGGCAATGGCAGTGGTGGTGGTGGAAGGTGATGACGGTAGCAGTGGTGAAAGGCGGTGACAGTGGTGGTAGTGGAAAGTGGTGGGCAATGGTAAAAGTCAGTGATGGTGGAAGGCAGTGGTAGTGGTGGTGGAAGGAGTAGATGATTGTGGTAGAAGGTAATGGTGGTTTTTAAACTTGGAATATGAGGATGTTTTGGGAAGTCGATTTTTCAAAATAAATTACTTGGGAATGGAATGGCCATTCCCATTTTAAGTTGCATACCAAACAAAGGAATGGTTGGAATGGACATTCTATTCTATTCCATTCCTGCATACCAAACGTAGCATTAGTCCCAATCAAGAAAAAGGGAAAAGAGAAACAAATATATATAGTCACATAGAGGACAAGAAATAAATGAAAACAAAATTTGAAAAAGAAAAAAAAATACCAAAAAAAAAAAAAAAGAAGAAAAAGATGAAGAAGAGGGATTTGCAGTATAATACAAGACAAAAAGTAGGATTGATTATTGTCATGAGTCCATATACTAGATCACTTATTGTGATGATTTGGGTAATTCATTTTTTTTCCTTTTGGGAAAGTTGAGCAAATGTATATATTGCAAAGAAAAACCCTAAACTTGCCAACACACGAAACATGACAATCGACTAAGATACATGATTTGGGTTGTTGTAGTATGATCGATTGTTGTGTGTGTTGGCAAATATATCACAATTCAATTATAAAATACGTGTGTAAAGAAAAATGATTCACTTAAAGTGATTCGCTTGACTTATAAATTTTTATTGATCATGTATGTAAAATGTAAGGAAGTAAGACTTTATATTTTCTTATAATTGGTAAAGATAATCAATCAAAAGTTATAAGTCAAGCAATTCACTTTACAACTTCGGCCCAAGTACATCACTGCTTGCGTAAAAATGGACCTGGCCCAGCCAGCTACTGCAGTCAAATCTGAAGAAGAAAAAAACCTTATGCAATCAAAACAGGTAAATTAGAACCAAGCTAACAAATACCCTATTGTTAAAGGGCCAAAGGAAAGGAGATTATACAACTTTAAACAACACACACTTGAGCCCCAAACATTTCAAACTAGCCTTTGTAAGGTATGGTAAAGGGTCAAGCTTTCCATGCCCCCCACCCTACGGTACTTGGTTCGAATCCCCTTCCCCCTATTCCAACTAACTCCTATCCCTGGCTATTTTTCCCAGCCAACTCAACGAGTTGGTACACGGGCCAAAGGTTTAGGAGCCTCAACCTTCCTTCAGACCGATCATCTCTTATCATTGATGCAACTAGATTGGCCCCTCAAATAAATCTATGACTGTCTCATCATCGAGTCCTTTCTCGTAGGTAAAACTACATACATTTGACCTCTTCAGACCCCACAATGACAGGACTCAGGAGCTTCATTTAATTGCTCCCAGAGAAATTTCCAACCTACAATTGGAAAATCAAACTGTTTGTTTCTTCAGAGTCCAATAAAGAGAACTAGTGGACTTGAGAGCTACTGTTGAAACTGCAAAATGTTCCAAATGCCCTTTCTGCATCCAACAAAATGCTAAAGTAGGAGCCAGTTATGATTAGCAACCTAGAGAGAGAAACAACATGGGATTACCACCTTTAGAAGGTAGCATCTACCATGCATGGAAGCACAACATGCATAAACAAAATACCAAATTGTACATGATAAAATCGTACTGGAAAGTCGGCCGATAAAATTTAAAAGCAGTGTCTTTGCAGCAGAGGCCTACATAACCACCCTATTATTCTGAACTCCTGCCTAACTACAACAAAGAAATACATAAACCTGCTAATAGATAATAAACTGTGTAGTTCCAACCTACACTAACTAATAGTAACCAAATTGCAATTTGACATTACAAGATCAAGGAGCCTCAAAATATGGAAATTGGCTAAGTCCATCAGATTATTCTCCATGCAAAGATATGTTGATGTCGGTGGTAGACTTTCCTGGGCCTTGCATGGTCTGCATGCCGGCCCAGTTATCCGTGCCAAATGTAGAAGGTGAAGCAAAATTCAGATTTTGGGTTGCTGAATTTTGATGCTTCACCACATTAGAAGGATTAGCAGCAGAGCTTGGAGCAGTCGTAGCCGCTTTAGTCTCAGATTTCTGCTTTTTGGGTTTCGGCTCATTCTGATTACTTGGAAGAAAACTGCCCAGTATCAACTGAAATAAAAAGAAAAGGATCAGTAAAGCAATGAACCATGGTTCATCACACAAGTAAGGAATTTCCATCCAGTGTCACTCGAGAGTACTTAAAGAGAGTAAAATCATTCAGCCGCCAAAGATGGTTTTGAAAACATCCTGCTATCTAATATTTGGTCAGGAATATAGTATACACAGCCATGTTCATTGACCAAATAGTCTGAATAGAATAAAAATAGAAAGAGAGAGAAGCAACCAGGTTTGTAGCCTTGTCTTTTCCCTTTCCAGAATGAAAAAAGAACTTACCTGGACAGGACTGGCAGCTACAAGTAGTCCTCCAAGTACGCCCGTTAAGAGACGGCCGTCAGGGCCTGCCAAAGATATGGTCAAGGAACCAGCCCTACTAAATTTGGATCCCTCAACCTCTGTGGGGGTGAATGACCCATGTAGTGAGACAATGTCAAAACGTCCCTACAAGAAAGTGATTGAAAAAAGAGATCAGGTTATCCATATATACAAAATGAAAATCATAAATTTGGCTAAACACCACGACCTAATACAACCAAGGTTCGCTGGGAGGATTGAGAGAAATAGTACGAATACACATGGATACATAGATAGATAAAATCAGTACCTATTCCCATTTCCCAGTTCCTTGTAAAACTAACCTTCAAGTTTGCCACCCTTCATCATAAACATTTTACGGCCTCTAAATATAGGCCTATTCCACAAGTATAATGAACAAACAAACAACGGGAAAAAAAAATGCAACAATGAAGATCTAAAAGCACCTCAAAGCTCTTACAAGACCTAAAACAGAAATCTTATGTTCTGAAATGTTCTGACAAATTACTGGAGAGTACCGAATGAGCAAATAATGAGAAATAATACTACTAGAATTATTCCAAATCAACTAGTGAATTGTCCAATTTTTGTCAAAAGCTTCCAGACTTAAACCAGAAACCCAAGAACTAACCAAGGATTGCAACAAATCATGGAGACAAAAATCAACTACCAATAGGGGAGAATGAAAAAAAAAAAAAAAAGAAAAAGAAAAAGAAAAAAGAAGCTAGCGAGAACACTAATAATTCATGTTAAGTAAATTCTTCACAATAGGTGTAGTACTCATGTTTAACTCCACACAAAAAAAAAAAAAAAGGATAGCTGCTAAACACATTGCAATAAACTATGTATCCAGTACTGCCAGAGGCAGAGAGACACATTCCCAACTCCTCAGAAGATCTCTAAGATGCTTTCCTGATCTGTTCCAATGCTACATAAACATTCCAAATGGGTGAAGCACTTATGACGGACATGCCAAGGCATTAACAATTATTTATTCAAGGCAATAAAAGAAGAAAGACAAGGCATAACACAATCTGACCATACTTACTACCTACAATTTGGAAATTACAGTATTCTTACCCCAGAACACATATCCATCCCCAGATAGTGGAGTCCATGTAACATAGCTTATGACCCTATCTGACAAGAAATGCAAATTTTATGTTCTTCTTTGAAAGTCTGTTATGTTTCATATTTTTCCTTCTCTTCATGGAGAAATTTTTGGTGCAGCATAAGAGTTGCACCGTCAAAGATCCATCTGGATAATTACTATGATGTTAACTGCTTTCAGTTAATGAGGTGTTTCACTATTACATATATAAGTAAATATCACGAGGAAAATTGGTTTAGGAAGTCACTGAATAGAGTTAATTTTTTCTATTTCTTTAATTTTTAGGAGCTGTTGCCCTGTTCAATTGGTAAAACGATTAAGCATCAGTGCCGCCGGTACAAGTTTGAGCCTCAAAACAGCCACTTTGAATAATTGCACAAGTTAGGTCTGTCTCAAGTCCTCCCTCCCCAGGATCCGCCACGGCGGTATCAGAACTGGGTAATACCCTTTTATTTCATTAAATTGTAAAATATATCAATTTATAGAGATGCTCTATAAATGAAGCAGGCAATATCATATCCTAAATTTAGATAATCAGACCCATAAAAGGTGCACTGCAACACATTAAGCTTTGGTATGCAGCAAAGCCATCAATATACAATTCAGTCATTATTCAAGAAATTAAATTTTGTGAGGAAACCCAAAATTATAAATAAGAAAATTGTTGAGAAGAAAAGATGAGTGCCATACTTCATAGGTCATAGTACCCCCAGAAGAATCAGGCTGTCGAAGTGTAACATTTGAAATTGAACCCGTAGCAGAAATAATGCAGATAGCTCGTGGCCCTTGTTGAGAAAATGAGAGAATCTTCATTGTTATATCCTAAAAAAACCAAAACAAACACACATATGAAATTTTATAAAACATAAAACAACCAATAAAATGTTAAAAAGGCATCAAAATAAACATTTCTATGAAGTTACTAAGAATATTTTTTTTAATTTTTTTTTGATAAGTCTACTAAGAATTTTTATATACAATAGTTCTCATTTTCTTGTTCATCTTTTCCTAGTGTATTGAGAATTTTGTATCTTTGAGAGACAGCATATTTTTCTTACAATGCACGTTTCAAATGATGAGGAGCTGGTTGATTATGTCCATCCACCACCCCAGAATCATAGCATTTCTCATGATTGTTGTGAATCTCTGACTTTTTCCGGTACGTTAATGAATAATTAAATAATATTCTTTTTCATAGTAGGTAACCGTCTAATTATTTTGACTTGTCATAAAACAAGTTATTCTATTCCGAGTCCTATCAACACTGAATTGATAGGGTAAGAATTTAAATAATTCCTACATTTGATGCAGTTCCCAGTTTTGGTTGCAAGATCAGATTAATCAAGTTGCAAATATGACTGCCTTATCACACAGTAAGTATATTCCAAGCCCCAATAGTTCAGATAACATTCATTCATATTACTAACCAAAAACAGAAAAGAAAGAAAGAAAGAAAGAAAGAAAGAAAGAAAAAGAACCTTCATCTATAGTGTAAATTCAACTTGTGAGTGATTTGTTAATTCTTTCTTCTAATTTTTTTGAATCCATCAATAACATAAATTTATCACTAATAAGATGCAACAGAATGTCTGCCCAAATGAAATCATTACTCTCGTATCCATTTGTTACTGAAAATATTTGACAAAATTCAGTTTCCATGTATGAATCCTCTTTGTGTGCATAAGAGCTGTCTTTGAGGTGAGACTCATGGATGCATGGATGCATTCAACTAACCTAACAGATTTATTGCACTTGCCAAAATTTATTCCTCTTGATTTCCAAAGTGCCTCGTCACAATACTTTTAGTCCATAAGACATCTGTTCTAGCAGTATGCAGTGTTTGATTTTAGGTATAGAGGCTCCATCACAGAACACACATTTCATGTTACTGTTTAATTTTTATGATAGTCAAAATCCTAAGAATCTCCTCAGTTCACATTAAGGTCTTCCAGTCAGGTTGTTTTCAAATGTCTATTTTGATGGTACTTCCATAGTTAAGGATGCAGATAAATAAAGGAAATATCAATTTGATGATGTGAAAAACTATGAAATGCTTTGAAATTAATGGTTATAATGTGGATATTGGCAAAAATGCAAAAGAAGCATAAAGAAGTATCAACAAACAATAAAAATAAATAGCTAAAAGAATGCATGTTTGCAGGCATGTATGTTCCATGAACAAGAAGAATAACGTGTAAATCCTACACCAAACTAATACCATGATAAAACAGAGCATGCTTAATCAGAACACACACACACACACACAGGGGGGGGGGGGGGGGGGGGTGGGGGGCCGCGGCGAATAAACTTTTCAATGAACAGATAAATTATGGAAGAATGTGAAAGTTCAACATCTTGCTTGATATCAAGCAAAAATTATTAATACATCCTAAACTTTCTAAATTTTCAATGACAATCTTCAAAATACCGGGTTTTGGAGTAGTTAGTTGATAATGACTATATTGTTGACATTTTGACAAGTCTATCAATCTAGGCTCATCAACTTCATAACTTCAATCAACATCTTTCCATCCTTCTTTTGGTCCCATTATTATCAATTATACAATCTTGTTTCTTAGTTTGGTAAGTTGTATAGTATGATGTATAGCCAATTAAAAAAGGGTAGAAGTTGTATGTCTTATTATGCCACAAAGGCATATAAAACACTAAAGCACTAAACTGACCAATTGTAGATGCAAGTCTAAGTGAGATGACAATAGAGCGTAAATTGACAAGTCAGTCTTTCAGTAGGTAAAAAATGATGTCACTGTGGTAAGATCTTCATATATGAAAAACTGGAGATACAATATTGGGTAAACAAAGAAATGGAATGAATAGAGTAAAATTCAGGATTGAATGCAAGGGTACACATGAAACTCTCTAATGGAAGCCTTCCATAAGGGTGCTTCACTCGTGTATGTTTGTAATTGTCTGTCTATTTCATTATGTATGTGGGTCCCGTAACCCACACTTCATAACCATTTTCCTTTTTGGTTTAACTTTTTTATGTTACAGATTTTCACCTTAGGACAATAATAACTAACTATTGGTCCTAAAAATAGATTCCTTCTACTTTTAGCTGTAATACAGAAATGTGGGGTAGGAAAAATTCTGGTGACATTGAAAGATAGTGCTATAAATATATGTATGTATACTAGCACTGATAGCAAGTGTGTATAGTATATGTACATACTAAAAATAGGTATACAATGTTCAAATATTAACTTCAACTTGCTCTCCAAGGGGTATTCATTGATAGAAAGTTTAAGAACTAGTAAAATACGTTCCACATGAACTTTTTCTTTTCATTAATCATGTTCTAAACTTTGAAGAATTTATTCAACACCCATCTAACAAGCATGGAAATTTATATAGAATACACACACAACATGACAAGAACATGTCAACACCAAAAATCTTTAAAAAGTAGGATATAAAAACAATGAAGAAACATTTATTAAAAAAAAGAAAGAAGAGAAAACGACAATGAAATATATATACGAATATATATTATGTAAAAATGATGTAATATACCACAAATATAGCTTCATGACAACAAAATATATAATAATTTATGATACATAAAATTGATAACTTGTAAATTGTATAATCATAATCACCCTAGTCATATAGAGAAAGTCATAACATGAACATAACATATGTGTTTATGCATATTTACATCGATACGTATACATACATGAAATCAGATGAATTGTTTCCTACTCCGTGGCTGCTCCTTTTGTAGATCTTTTGTTTTCCAATATGATCCTTTTTATATATGTTATACAAATCTATAATTTGATATTTTATTATTATTATTCATTTTTTAGTGCCAACTGAAAGTTCTAACCAATATCTAAGATTCATTAGTTACATGCAGCAGAGTGTCTGAGAAATGACAGTGATGCGTCACTAGTTTTAAGTTTTATGACAAAATATATACAAGTCCCAAATGTGTAAAATATGAGCTTGGGAGTGTTCAATGAGTATCACTACCCAACACATGTCAGTCTAATACAGACAACTCCTCTAATGATGTGTCTGTGTTTACTGTAGGCTTACGTCAAGGGTAAGCATTAAGCCCATACCTTTTTACCTTAGTTATGGATGTGCTGACAAGACACATCCAAGATCAGATTCCATGGTCTACGGTGTATGTTATTTATCAATGATATCGTTTTAGTCAACGGGCCTAGAGAATGAGTGAATGCCAAATTGGAGGTTTTGAGAGAGCAGGGTTAGGATAAGTAGAAATATAACCGAATACATGGAGTGTAACTTTAGTAAATCTAGAAATACAAATGAGGACGTACTAAGGATTCAGAACCAAGAGGTGCAAAAAAGTGAACATTTTCTTTATTTAGGAGATGAAATTTAATTATAGAATTAAGGCAGGATGGGTTAAACGGAGGAGTGCATCTAGTATATTGTGTAACAGGCATATTTCTATTGAACAACTATTAGACGAACCATACTTCATGTCAGAGAATGTAGGGCAGTTAGGAAACAACATATGCATAAAGTGGAGTGTGGCATAAATGTGAATGTTGAGATGGATGTGCGGTAAGAATAGAAAGGATAGAATTAGAAATAATCACATTCGGGAGATGATTGGAGTAATTCGAACGTGTTTCAAAATTTTATATATATATACTTTTATAAATCTCCTGAAATGTCTTTAAATTTATTAATTCCCAATCTTATGACACAAATGAAAAGTTGGCTAGTTGGTAGATGGGAGACCTTTAGTTTGCCACAAGAGGTCCTAGGCTCAAGTCACGCTGATGAAGCTGATATTTTCACTTTTAACCGATGCAATTTCGCTTTTTCATTCACGATTTTAAGGTTTGACAACAAGATTTTCAGTTCCTTCTGGTAAAAAAATATGGGAATTCTTGGAATTCTAATTTGGTAAACCTTCCAACTTCTACGCTTAAAAGTATGATTTCTCAACATTATATTTTACTTTGGAAAAATGATTGGACAAAGATGAATACATAGGTACATAAAGGGTCTCACTTCATGGACATTCAAATTGTTGAATCTGGCTTGGTTGAATTTTGAAGATAATGTTGCCATTTTGATAATCCGATTGCACCTAAGAAAGGCTTCAACTATGTTCAAGAAGCGCTTTTTTTAAAAAAAAATCTGCCATTTTGGAATATTATTATTTTAATGATCTCCTCTAATAATGAAGATATTGTTGCTTATGTGTAAGCCATTTTTTTTTTATCATGCTCCAACTGGACTAGCACAATTGGAAATAAAATAAGAGAAAATCGGTTAAGATGGTTTGGACATGTGCAAAGAAGACCTTTAAGTGCACAAGTGGAAGAGTGACATTGTCAACATTGAGGGTAATACTAGGGGAAGAGGAAAACCAAATTTAACGTGGGTAGAGTTAGAAAGGAAGAATATGGCAGCATATGGTTTGACTGAGGCAATGGCCTTCGAGCGGAATGAAAACATAGGATTCATGTAGTTGACCCCAAGTAGTTAGGAAATCTTGTTTTCAGAGTAAAGCTTGTATATTAGAAAGTGATAAGGAGACTCGAGAGAGACAGCCCAACAAACTCGCCAGATAAGCCATTCAACAGGATAAGATAGTCCAACAGTTCGGTTGGCCAATTTGAAATAAAATGAGCTGTTACTTGTTAGGATTCGAGCACTTGAAATTTAAAACAGGATAACAGTGATTCAAATTCAAAGCAATGGATTAGCTCTCGAAAGGATCGAACCTCAAACCAGCTCAGAGGATTGGCTATAAGAACTAGCCTGACCAAACCAAAAAAGTACATGTCAATTAATTATATTAAATTCCTGTTTTTACTTCAGAACTACGGGAATGCCTGGATCATCAGAGAGCTCTTGGAAGGCACCACACCAGTGTTGTCAAGGTGCGTTCTTTGCAGGAGAGTCAGGAGACAGTGCCGTTCCGGCCGTGCAAAATCTCGCATCAACAAAAAGAATATATATGGATAAATTTTCATTTGTATTCCATTATAGACATTTACATTAAGACTTGAGCTCTACTAATTCCTTTTAGAGTGCGTATTCTTTCTTTTTGAGATAAAGTAAGTTACTTGATCGACCCTCTTTATCCTTGAACTCAGCCCACATATACTTCAACTGCTCAAGCAAGTCTGCAGCTTTGGCTTTGACTTCTTCAAGCTGGGGGAGTTCACCAGACAGCTCTTCCCAAGTCCCAAGTCTTCTGATAGGCCTCGGATTCCACATAAACGGTGTTCACCTGCTCATCCAATGCATTCTCCTCCTGAGATTTGGGATTGTTTGGGCACACGCTCGCTAAAAGTACAATTGTGAACCCCAACTTTCGCCCTCTCTCTATGCTAGTGTGGTATTCATCCTTCAGCTTCGGAGATTCACACGTTAGGTCTCGATTGAGCCTAGGACTGCAGCACTAAGGAGAACAGAAAAGTGGACTGTATTGGTCGTTCCGAGAAGGTCCTAAGCATTATTGTTACACTTCTTTTCCTTATATAATGTTGAAGCCAAGGACATGGTTTTAAGACTCGACTGTCAGTGTATCAGTCGAGTTTTAACGGACTCGACCAGGTTCAAGTTTAATATTCACTGATATATCGGTAGGATTTCGAATCACACGAGAGACCTAGTCTTGTCTGAGTCAGCCAAGTTTCGTCCAACTTGGCCAAGTTAGGGCATCTGATGGAGTGCAAGGTCAATAAAATTTCACGTCACAGTTTCTGATACCGTTACATAATGTTCCTTATACCTGGAATCTGAGTTTGTGGCTCCTCTCTCCTACCCCACACACAAAAACAAAAGAATCAGGATTAGGGCATAACCACAAGTCTTTATAATCCTTCAAAGGCACATGAACGGGAATTGCCATCAAAATAACCCCAAGAGGATATAGGTGTGCCAACAAGGGACCTCCTTACCCCCTGACAACCAACAAACCCAAATAATTGGTTGGCCTTTGGTTGCAAGCAAACTCCCAAGAATGACAGATTTAGGAGATCCCATTTCACCAACCCAAAATGTATATTATGAATTTATGATGAATTACTTGAGATAGAAATTCACTAATTGTTAATCGTTTGTAATCGGGACTCCAAAAGAACACAGCTTTCAATGTATGCACGTATGTCAGCTGACCACTCACCTCAAATATCATTATCATGATAATGATGACAATCACAATGAGGACAAAATGGAGATTATTACAAAAAGCACAATAACAATGATAAAGACAAAAGGTAATAAAAAAATAATGGTGTATATTTTTACACAGGGAATTGTAATAAAATTGGGCAACTAGCTATTATTGCATTAATTATCAATCCAGACTTGATATAAGCTCAAAATTAAATACATGATAGGAAAAGTTTTATAGTAAGTTCACGCTCATATGAAAAGTTTTAAAGACTATTTGAGAATGAGAAGGGAAAAAAAACTTGTTGGGAAAAAAAAAAAAAAAAAAAAAAAGCATCTCGATCCAAAAATCAACCTTAATTTTCAAGAATTGTTACATATCAGTTTCAATAAAATCCAACTTTTATTGAAAGTTTAGAGGCCTTTTTGGCCTTGTGTAGTTCCCTTGGGATACGCTCCCCTTTTGAGTGCTTTTTCTACATTTTACTTATTAAAAAAAAATCCAACTTTTAATCCCAAAAAATTTAGACAATGATACACATATTGAAATGCCCCGGAGCCATGGGATCAGGCTAACTAACACAATCAGTGGCATCCTCTACTTAACTAAAGCAAATCCGAACCCAATCTATCCAAAGATCGACAAACATACAAACTTCTCAATAGGGGTCATCTAAAAATAGAAATCCGAAAATCTTGTCTATGCTTAAGATTTTTAATTATAAATGATTAGAGCTTCATAAACACCATAAAATTTTGGTTTCTAGCAACTTGCTCCCCACCCCTTTCCTCCAGGAATGAGAGTAAACTCTAACATCTGCATCTGTAAAATTGGAAGCTTGTATCTGTTGATGTAGCTCTCTGAGTCCAATAGAACAACTAATGTCATATGCAGCCCATAAGCCAGCAAAAACTAAAAAAAAATAACATCATATCAAGAATACAATGACTACACCCCAATACAAAAGATAACATCCAAATGTTGAAGATTATCTTGTGGGAAGATAGGGGAAAATAGAACGATTAATGTTGTATGCAGCCCATAAGCCAACAAAAACTAAAAAAAATAACATCATATCAAGCATACAAGGACTACACCCAATACAAAAGGTAACATATCCAAAATATTTAAGATTATCTTGTGGGAAGATAAGGAGAAACATAAGGAAAGACAAACTTGGATATTAGAAGGCCTCTACTTACCAAAAAATAAAAGGAAAGAAAGCTGCACATGAATTGGACAACAATTGCATCTCTCTTAAGCAATACAAAGCTAACAATAACCAAAGAAAACACACTTGTTTCCAAAAGGGAACACTAGTTTGTTTTTCCTATTGTGCGCTGCTAAACAAAAGTTTTTCATGTTTCAACTTCATCTTCTCTTATTTAGTAGCCTTCATTACAAATTCTAAGAACAGGGAGACATTTTCAGATCCCGCAAAGGAAACTCTCCATCACAAATTAATATTTAAAAATTTGGACAGCATAAAAAACTACTACATGTTTGAAACTTGAAAAAGTAGTTATAGTTAAGATATATTTCACCCCACGTAGTTGGCAAGAGGCATTCAAGGTGATGAAAAAATCCAAAACCAAGAATACGGTATTTATAATGAAGCTTGTTTCTTATCTAGTCAGACATACCTCACCAGCATTAACAGTGATTGTGTGTGGCGTAAAATTGGCACCGGTAGTAAGTGTGAAGTATTCACCTGCATCAAAGTAGAAGTGTGAAAAATATTAGTAGATTTGGATTATAGATTATGCAAATAAATCTGCAAATTTAGAAATTCAGTATTCTCCCCTCCCCTGGAACCTATGATTAGATAGAATTTTCTATGACCATGGCAAGGTGACAGTAAAGAGATTCACCAAAATTGAAAGGGCCATGGTGTTTGTAAGTCGCTTCATGTTGAAAACAACAAAAACAACTTCAACAACTATGTAAGAATCCATGCTTCACAAGATAGTGGACAACTGGAGATTCATGGAAAGTTTACATAGCAAAATTTCATAAGTTACAAATAGTTTTTGGAGAAGGCGGCAAATACAAAGATCTGTAAGGTATTCTGGACTTTCCTTGGTTGTGTGACACAATCTATATGCACACAGATGAAAAAAATAAATCACCCACAACAGCAGCTTTGCTGGGTCATAAATCATCCTACAACAGCAGCTTTGCTGTCTCTTAAATCATTTCACATGCCCATACCACATGCTGAGTGAACAAAATTGAAAAAGCTATGGTGTTTCTATGTTCTGTTCATGTCAAAAACAACCTTCAACAACTATGAAAAAATCCATTGGACAACTGGAGATTCATGGAAAGTTTAAATAGCAAAATTTCAAAAGTTACAAATAGTTTTTGGTGAAGGCGGCAAATGCAAAGAACTGTAAGGTATTCTGGACTTCCTTAGTTGTAACAAAATCTATATGCGTACAGATAGAAAAAATAAATCACCCACAACAGCAGCTTTGCTGGGTCATAAATCATCCCACATGCCTTTGCTACATGCTGAGTATAAGTTTGTTATTCTATCCTAGTGGTATCTTATTTTAATTATCTAGCTCCTGTCAAAATATATTTGAATAAAAATTTATAGTAACGGAAATAATCCTGGGATATATTTCTCTCTTCAACTATTATGGATGATTAGGCTTTTCATTTCTCATGTAAAACTCATACTCATCCCAACATCACCTTACAGTTAGCAAAACTCATAAATGATCAACTCGGGAGTAAAAAACCTACCTTCATATTACTGATTCCATCTTTAAAAAAGGAGTATACAAGATAACCACCTGACATTTTTTTGACCAAGAACCAACTATATGCAAAAAATGACGAACAATGGTTGCACTTATATTCAACAAAAACTAACAAGTATCTAAATACCAAGTAGTCAAAATATGACCTCTATTGATAAACCCACACGGTCTAAGGAATTGCTTCAACTTAGGCCCAATATGGTTTATTCTACTAGATAACTAAGGCTATAAATAACTCAACTGTGTGCACCCATTAAGATCCATAAAATTCAATTAATTCCAGGAAACTAATTCCAATTCCATAACTGCTGAAATTCATTGAATTCAGGAAGGCCATGATGCTCTATTTCTTTAGGTTGGGGAACATCATACTGGAATAAAGGCCACAAGTCTCATTTGAGGTTTTGCAAGGTATCCACACTCCTCCTTGGGATGACTTTCAACATTCCAGGTGTCAAGCTAATATTTTCTCAGGCTAATGCTGGTTATTAGCATATTTGTTGCAAAGGAACTGAACATTTGAAAACCTTTTTTTTTTGCTAATAATGCTAGAGATATTCAGGATTGTATAACTCTCTCAAATCTGGTCCTGTGAGAAAGGTATTCCACTACCCTAGGTTAACAGAAAAATATTGTATTATATTAGAGTAAAAAAGTTATGGTTCTTAAGTGTTCTTTCTCACGATTATGTCAAATTAGACTCAAAAGCTATAAATTGTTAGTGTTCTTTCCCTCCTTGCCATAGCCATACATCCATTTCATTAAACTCTACTACTTGACTAGTTACCAGCATATTCCTAAATGAAGGTAGCCATTGCTCCTAGATTGGATCAGTCATTGTTCAAAAATGTACTGAAGGTACCCGTTGCTTCTAGAAATGGATCAGTCATTGTTAAAAAATGTACATTATGTACCATTTACTTGCTCAGAAGGAACAATTTACTTATTCATAATTTACAAAAATTACTGAAATGGAAAAAAATGGACAAATTGTTAGTAAGAAATTCCAAATTCATATTTTTCACCAGGTAAGGCTTTTTTTGCACTCTCCCCACCTTGGTTACCCCACCACAGCAAAAAAATAAAAAATATTACGTAATTAAGTAGATTTAATAAAATAAAAAATAAAAAAAATCTACTTTCCAGCTTCTACAAATAATTTCAACTTCTGAAGCAAATGAATTTTAACACAAATTCAAAGGTTAAACCTTTACCAAACATAAAATTTAATGGACTTTCTAAGTGAAAGTTCAACTTTGACCACTCGAATCAGACCAGAAGATTTGGCTATTTAACAGATAATGTATATCAAAATGTTGTTTGCAAAGTGACATTCATTATTGGAGTTATATGAATGTATTGGACAGAAGAAATTTTGTTAAATTGCCAAATCTTCTAATAAATAAAGAAATTTTGTTGAGTGGGAGTAGGCCCTTGTTTATCTTGGTGCCAATTGAATAACTGGTTTTCTGACAAATTGAATAATGGAACTTAAGAGTTTTACATTAAATCAGACGGTCAAAATTGAAACAAATTTGTCATAGGCATTAGAATTCTGCAGCAACATGCAACATCGTCTGTTGAATTTAGTTTATCAGGACTTGGCATTTAGTGAGAGGTTGAAACAACTTTTATTTCATCTGAACTCGTGACTACATAACTCACTAACACCATAATTTGAGCAAGCTCGCACATCCGACAAGTTCCCTTCTCTGTCATATCATTGTATTGTACCATGAAATGGCAAGAAGTAACAGATTTAGTCCAGGATGAATAATCCTCACTATTGCCACAATTGCTTAAAAGACCACCTTTTTTTTTCTCTAGAAACCAACATTTACTTTCAGATCTAAACAGAAGCATCACCAGAAATGGTCCCACAAACTTCAATTATTAATAACTCCTCAAATGGAACGACTCACATCCCAGGTCCAAACAAAAATGATGCAACTAAAACAAATACAGGCTGTAAATAATCAAGAAATATAAAATAAAGCTCGACATTAATATCAGAACCAAAGCAATTATTATTATTATTTTTGGATGGTAAAGTAATTCACTCACACACACTGCCTCCACTGAGGCTCGAACACATGACTTCCCTTAGGGAGGTATGGGTCTAGTACCAAAATTTAAGCAATCTTGTTATAGATATATATCAGAGATATTAAAATGCTAAAATTTAAAATGAAATCAATTGTAAAAGGTTTTTAACAATATTACTTGAATTCTCCCACTCAACTCTATGCCGTTTCTTGTTCACTGAACCCTTTGGCCGCCCTCTACTCTTTCCGGTTGAGAAGTCACCAGTAGGTGGTGTACTCTGCGTTCCTGCTGAGAAGTCACCAGTAGGTTGTGTACTCTGCTTTCCGGATGAGAAGTCGCCAGTAAGTGGTGGAACTGAGGAAGAAATTGGCATTGGTGACAATGCTTTGGAAAGTGTCCCATCTGGTCCGAACTTTCTCGGTCTACCTCTCTTCTTCTTTTCTGCCATTCCAGACATTCCCAAACTCACAGGCATTGCAGTCACTGCCGGTGCTGCAGGCACCTCGGTTGAGTTTACCATCCTCGGCATCACATGATAATTTGATGGAGTCTCAGCTCCAATCACAGTCACTCCTACACTGATACCTTCTGTTACTTCCATGCTTTACCGTAGTTCTTGCAGTTAACCAAACAATTCAAATGTGGTTGAATCAAACACTACAATTTTCTGTCACCAACAAGAAAGAAATTCATCAAACATCAAGAAGACAAAACCCTGGAAATGAAAACAAAAAGAATGAAACCTTCAAGCAAAAAAATACTTCATCATATAGAAACAGTAAAAGAAGCTTCTTCAAACTCAACATGTTCTTTGGTTTTAAAATTTAAACAAACACAAAATTAGTAAACAAAACTATAATAAAATATTTTACCAAAATATTAATAAATAAATAAGCACAGATATGCAAAAATAACCAAAATTAGTAATAAAAACTGAAACATAATTATTAACCCCCCTTCTCACTCACTCACACATACACAAAATTAGTGAACACAAAAAATTGTTATAAAATCTTAAACAAATTGTAAATAATAAATATACAAAAATAACCCCCCATCCCCCTCCTTTTCTCTTTCTCTCTAACACACAAACACAGGCGTACACTAATTAGGAGACAACAGAAAATAATAATAAAATAAAATAAAATAAAAACGAAAAACAAAACAAAGAGAAAATCTACAACCGAAAAATAAGTAAAGATAAGTAAAAATATACCTCAAACAGACATTTACTTAAATCTTCAGAGATCAAAACATTTAAGGGGAAAAAATCCAACCAAAGTCCATGGCACAAAAATAATAATAATAGAAATAAAAAAATAAAAAATAAGAGGAAGGAAAAAAAGAAAAATCATCCAAAACCTACCAAAAAATCAAATATATACTCGACATTTCGTTTGATCCTTAAAGATTAAACATGCAAACCCTCAAACCCATATAAATATCAAACTTAAAATCAGAAATCTACACATAGTCAACTTCAAACACAACCACAAACAGTAACAGTAACTTCTACATTCAAAATCAACTGTTCATATAAAAGCAGTAAAACCTTCACTGTTCTCTGTCAGAGCCTTTTCACACTCGCAAAGCTCAAACAGTGCTCTAATGGCATCCTCTGGTCACAACCACAAACAGATCAAAAAAATTCAAAAATCAACAGTATAAAAAACAAAGAAATTTTGTTTTTTCTCAAAAGTACTAACCGTTCTTCTTCCGGCGATAAAAACAGTTTTCAGGTGCCCCAGAAAACCGGTGACCGGTTTTGCCCAAGCCGTCCCGACACAGACTATTTGAGAAATAAAAAGACAGTGAAAATTAATGTATGTAAAACTATTTAGTTATACATAGATGATAAATATGTGTGTGTATATATATATATATCAAAATAAACCAGTTAAAAATAAATAATAAATAAAAAAACTCAAATAATGACTAATGCCACACAGCTTGGATTGATTTTTTAGGTACTCTAATATTGTTGAATGAAAACACTTATAAAAAAACACACTAACTTGCTTTGCAAACTTTTCAAAATTTGTAAATCATCTAAAAGTTAAAAGTGGCTGATAAACTATTTTTTTTTTTTTTTTTTTTTTTTTCAACAAAATAAACTCACTGATAATCAATAAAAGAGAGTTTTTTTTTTTAAAAAAATAAAGTAAATAGAGTCCATTTGTTTTTTTAAAAGTATTTAATTAAAGGATTGTTACATTAGTCCATTATACAAAAGGGTCAAGATTGTCATTTTTATATTTAAAAAATAAAATTTTATAAAAGGACTAAAACAGTATTTTAATCTAAGTTATATAATCATTCTAGACAGGTGTAATTCACACGTTTCGAGCACGTTTTCGTTTTCACGCTCTGCGCGCGCTTTCGTTCAAAATTTCACTTCTTATGACTTAATTCTGTCGATTTTACGCTCTCGCTATCGCTTTCGAACTCACTTATTCTCCCCTTTTATTAGACTTAAATTTTGATACTAAATGAAAATTTTGAAAAGTTAGCAAATTCTTTTTTTACGAAATTTGAATTTTTTTTTTGGTATTTAAAGCAATAACAGAGGAGGTCAGACGGTCGGATCACTTTTATGCCAATGAGCTGTAAATTGTCATTTTCAGATAATACAATAAAGAAGACAATAGAGAAGTGTGAGTTATGCCCTTGTAGTTTGTGTAAATTACCAATATTGCCACTGAGATTTTAAAATGGGTCCCTATCTCGATAATAAATGTTGTTTTAATATGGAGTAATTGGTTAGTGAGGTGTGATTGCGTCACCTGGTGGGGCCACAGTGGAAAACCAGGGGATAAAATCTTGTGAAGGGATTATTCACTGCATCCTCAGCTAGTTTCCCTTCTTGCATCCCATTATTCAATAAAGTATATATTAATTACAAACTTATTAATTCATCATAATATTTAACAATATACTTAAAAATACAATATTATATTATACAATTATTTTATTTTATTTTATTTCGGGTAAGTATGATGCCTTTAATGTTTGACATGATATAACTTATAAGTATTGTCTAAATAATTAATTTTTCTATTAGTGTCGAATAGGTAATCTCTCATAAATTATTTGTTTTTTAAAATTCCTTAGATGCATCGTTTTATTTAATAAAGTATGTATTAATTACACACTTTAATTCATCATAATATTTAACAATATACCTTAAAATACAATATTATATGATATCACTAATGTATTTTTTCGGGTAATTATGATACCATTAATTTTTGACAAGATATAAAATTATTATTATTATTATTTTATTAATTTCGAATATGTGTAATCTCCATTACATATTATTTAAATTAAGGTGTTCTTGAACCGAGTTTATTGTTGATTTTTTTTAAAAAAAAATCTTACCTAATATATTACTAGTGCCGATTAACAACTATACATACTTAAATCTAAGGATTTTTTTTTTTTTTGGGGGGTGTGAAAGAATTGATGTTCTTAACTATGAATCACAAATAAAAGCAGCAAAATTAATATTCTGACTAATAAGTTTGTAAACATCTAATGCTATGCATGCATGGATAAGAATTAGGAGTAGATAGCATTGTACGTATATGAATCCACATAAATTACTGTGTGTATTTATATACCGTATATATTACAGTATATGGTTCCATCTATAAAATTTGAAAAGCTGACGATTTTGGCAGTTGAGACAAGCTAAACGGACCCCACCGTTGGATTTGGCACCACATTGTTAACTATCACGTCATCTGACAGCGCTTGAATGGGACATACTCAGACTTTTTGTTTCAAGTGTGATTATATAATAAGTCTACGTGGCATAAGACAAGTTCAACGTGGTGGTATGGACAATGTCACAATGGTCCGACTCAATGGACTTCTCAATTTCTTTGCTTTTCAATGTCAAGGTCACAGACATTATATTATATATATACATACATATATTAGTATGTGTGGTGCTTGGTTTCTTTACTTCAAAATGTTATTGATTTCACATGCTAGTACAAATGTATAATAATCCACTTCTTTTTAATAGTATTCTAATCATGAGTTCTTACCCAAAAATATAAATAATAATAATAAATAAATAAATAAAATAACCCTTTAAAATTTCCAAACCAAAGATATATTGAAAACATAAATGAAATCAAGATAGTTCAAACCCAAAATGTAATGACTACCTCCAAACATAAACAACATTAATATATAATGAAAACAACGTTCAACTGCAAAACAATCATATGATTGGTAGGTGAATATGGACATTGTGTTGCTTCACATGATTAATGCTAAAGAGTACTCCTATAAAGCAACAAGCCAGCCAGCGTATATGCAAGACAGAGAGTGCCAAAAAAAGACCTAACAATCAACAGTTTCAAAGTCTGTCAACACCAGCATAAGTTAGAAAAAAGCAGTGGTCCCCCATTTCATGTTGAGGCATGAATATATATATATATATATAGAGAGAGAGAGAGAGAGAGAGAGAGAGAGACTTATAAGGTCTTCTATTTAGAAATTTCCTGGTAGATTCCCAAATCTAACCTGCTTAACTTTTATAACTAAAGCTAAAACTTGCAAAAGCAAATTCAGTATAAATCTTGAATTCTAACCAAAAAGGCAAGTAAAGCAACAGATGACCTAAATACCTTTTTGCTTGACAAGCAACTTTATACACACATGCTGAAACATACTCTCTTCAAGATCCAGACAAGAAATTCAAATTCACATTAGTGCGCCAAAAGAACAAAGAAGAAAAAACAATAAAAAATAACAAAACACAAGGTAGTAACCGGATATCAATCACGTCGGATGAGCCATAACTAAAAACCAATATCTCTCACATCTGGAATCATAACCTTTCATAATCTCTGGTCACATTAGCAGAGTTTTCTGGGACTCAATTAATGATCTTTTGCATTAACAAAATATTTTGAAATATTACAGTATTTGCATGTTATACAAGAGTAAAAAAGAAGCCATGAAAATTAAAATGGTCACTTGAAGGAAACTGCAAGAAGATTGATATACTAGCTCATATTCGTTGCCAAGTCCAAGTTGCAACACTGACTTTGGATGCGTTTAAGCAAGGATGAAACCGGCTCCTCTCTTCTCGTAAGAGTATTCGATGCCTTCAGCAACTCGAGGCAGTTGAAGGAGTTGTTGGCATTGGGATTGGCATCTTCGTCGGGGTTTCGTTCCCATCAACAGCAGAAAGAATCTTACCCGGAGTTACAACAAGCATTTTTGTTATTAGGGAGTGCTTTCTGAAGTGCATTTGGTGTTCTGTTCTGGTCTTTGCATATTTGCAGTGTTGGCCTTAGATGATAATGCAGAAGATACAGGAGAAAGGCTAAAAATATGGAAATTGGTGAGGTTCATCAGATTATTCTCCATGCAAAGATGTGTTGACGTCAGTGGTGGACTTCCCGGGGTCTTGCATTGTCTGCTGCATGTCAGCCCAGTTATCCGTTCCAAATGTAGAAGGTGGAGTAAAATTCAGATTTTGGGCTGCTGAATTTTTCTGCTTCTTCACATTAGAAGCATTAGCAGCAGAGCTTGGAGCAGCTGTAGTCGCCTTAGTCTCAGATTTCTGCTTTTTGGGTTTTGGCTCATTCTGATTACTTGGCAGATAACTGCCCAGGATTAACTGAAATAAAAAGAAAAGGGTCAGCAAAAGTGATGAACCATGGTTCATCACACAATTAGGGAATTTCCATCCAATATCACTCAAAAGGACTTCAAGAGAGTAATATCATTCAACCGCCAAAGATGATTTTGAAAACATCCTGCTATCTATATTTGGTTAGGAATATACTCCACAGCCATGTTCATTGACCAAATAGTCTGAATAGAATAAAGTCAACCCCTCCCTTCTAACTCCCCAATGGAAAAGAAAAAAGAAAATTATATCTATATATATGGATATATATATAGAGAGAAAGAGAGAGAAACAACCAGGCTTGTAGCCTTGTCTTTTCCAAGAAAAAAGAACTTGCCTGAACAGGAGTGGCAGCTATAAGTATTCCTCCAAGTGCGCCCCTTAAGAAACAGCCATCAGGGCCTGACAACGATATGGTCAAGCCACCAGCCCTACCAAATTTCGATCCCTCAACCTCTGTTGGGGTGAATGACCCTTGTAGTGAGATAATCTCAAAACATCCCTACAAGAAATTGAAGAGATCTGGTTATCCATATATAACAAAATTAAAGTCATAAATTTGGCTAAAGAACATGACCTAATGCAACCATGGCGGCTTCACTTGTCAGCTGCTAAAACATACATAAGCCATTGTTCAAAGTCAAATACAACTGCTTGTATAATGTATTCCGATATGGAAGTTGAGCCAAAATTTTAGTGCACAATTAGCTAATTTGGTCTCTTTCAGCATCTTTCTTTTCACTCATGCTCCCTTCAACAAAGCTTAAACTCAACTCTTTGGAGCCTCCTCTCAATGAATCCCTCTCATAAAAAATTATTGAAGTATAAAGACATACGAATACACATGTATACATAAATAGAGAAAGTCAGCTCCTATTCCCAGTTCCTTGTAAAACTATCCTTCAAGTTTGCCACCCTTCATCATAAACATTTTAAGGCCTCTAGATATAGGCCTATTCCACAAGTATAATGAACCAAAAAACAACGGAAAAAAATTGCAACAATGAAGATCTAAAAGCACCTCAAAGCTCTTAAAAGACCTAAAAACAGAGGTCTGACAAATTACTGGAGAATATTGAATGAGCAAATAATGAAAAATAGAATCAACTAGTGAACTGTCCATTTTTTGTCAAAATCTTCCAGACTTAAACCGGAAACCCAAGAAATAACCAAGGACTGCAATCCTGGAGACAAAAATCAACTACTTAATGGGGGGGGGGGGGGGAAATGAAGCTAGCGAGAACACTAGTAATTCATTAAAAGAAAATTCTTCACAATAGGTGTAGTAGTCATGTCTAACTCGAAAGGAAAGGATGGATATCTGCTAAACACATTGCAATAAACTATGAACCCAGTACTGCCAGAGGCAGAGAGAGACATTCCCAACTCCTCAGAAGATCTCTAAGATGCTTTCCCGATCTGTTCCAATATTACATAAACATTCCAAAATGGGTGAAGCACTTATGATGGACTTGCTGAGGCTTTGACAATATTTTGTTCAAGGCAATAAAAGAAGAAAGACAAGGCATAAGCCGCATAACACAATCTGACTGTACTTACAACCTACAATTTGGGAATTACAGTAATCTTACCCCAGAACACATATCCATGCCCAGATAGTGGAGTCCATGTAACATAGCTCATGACCCTATCTGACAAGAAATAAAATCATTATGTTCTTCTTTAAAAGTCTATTATGCTTCATATTTTTCTGTCTCTTCATGGAGAAAAGTTTGGTGCAACATGAAAGTTGCACTGTCAAAGATCCATCCAGATAATTACTATGATTTTAACTGCTTTCAGTTAATGAGGAGTTTAACTATTACCTATTTTAAGTAAATATCACGAGGAAAATTGGTTTAGGAAGTCACTGAATAGAGTTAATTCCTCCTATTTCATTAAATTTTGGGAGCTGTTGCCTGGTTCAGTTGGTAAAACGTTTAAGCATCAGTGCCGCTGGTACAAGTTTGAGCCTCAAAACAGCCACCTTGAATAATTGCAAAAGTTAGGTCTGTCTCAAGTCCTCCCTGCCCAGGACCCTGCCATGGCGGCACCAGAGCTCGGTAATATATCAATTAATACCCCTTTATTTCATTAAATTGTAAAATATATCAATTAATAGAGACGCTCTATAAATGAAGCATTCAATATCACATCCTAAATTTAGATAATCAGACCCATAAAAGGTGCACTATAACACATTAAGTTTGGTATGCAGCAAAGCCATCAATAAACAGTTCAGTCATTATTCAAGAAATTTATTCATTGTAAGGAAACCCAAACTTATAAGTAAAAAAATTGTTGAGAAGAAAAGATGAGTGCCATACTTCATAGGTCATAGTACCCCCAGAAGAATGAGGCTGTCGAAGTGTAACATTTGAAATTGAACCAACAGCAGAAATAACGCAGATAGCTCGTGGCCCTTGTTGAGAAAATGAGATAATCTTCATTGTTATATCCTACGAAACCAAAATAAACACACAGATAAAATTTTATAATAGAACAACCAATAAAATGTTAAGAAGGCATTATATAAATCATTTCTATGTACTAAGAATTTTTATATTCAATGACTTTTCATTTTTTTGTTCATCTTTTCCTCACGTATGGAGAATCTTTGTATCTTTGAGAGAACATATTTTTATTGCAATGCATGTTTCAAATGACGATGAGCTGGTTGATTATGTCCATCCACCACACAAGAATCATAGCATTTCTCATTGTCTATGGTGTACGTTATTTATCAATGATATAGTTTTAGTCAATGAGCCTAGAGAATGAGTGAATGCTAAATTGGAAGTTTGGAGAGAGCAAGGTTAAAATAAGTAGCAATAAAACCGAATACATGGAGTGTAACTTTAGTAAATCTAGAAATACAAATAAAGATGTAGTAAGGATTAAGAATGAAGAGGTGCAAAAAAGTGAACATTTTTGTTAGTTAGGCTCAATTATTAATAATAAAAGAGAAATAGGAGATGACGTTATTTATAGAATCAAGGCAGAATGGGTTAAACGGAGGAGTGCATCTAGTATATTGTGTGATAGGCATATTTCTATCGAACTATTAGACCGACCATACTTCATGGCACATAATGTTGGGCAGTTAGGAAACAACATATGCATAAAGTGTGGCAGAAATGAAAATGTTGAGATGGATGTGCGATAAGACTAGAAATGATAGAATTAGAAATAATTACATTCGGAAGATGGTTGGAGTTATTCGAACATGTTTCAAAATTATATATATTTATTTTTATAAATCTCCTGAAATGACTTTAAATATATTAATTCCTAATTTTATGACACAAATGACAAGTTGCCTAGTTGGTATATGGAGACTTTGAGTTTCCATTTTGCCAAAAGAGGTCGTTGGTTCAATTCATTCATGATGAAGCTGATGCTTTCACTTTTAACTGATGCAACTTCTAATGACCAAGTCCAAATTTGCCACAAGAGGTCCTAGGTTCAAGTAACGCTGAGGTCTCTGAAGCACGGACACAGGTACGACACGACACAAATACGGTAACACGGCAAATTTCAAAAAAATAAGACACGGACACGACGGGGATTCGCCTATAAAATTATATATATATATATATATATATATATTCAAAATCCACAATACCATAAATCTAACCTCCCCCCTATATTCAAAATCCACAATACCATAAATCTAACCTCCCCCCAAAAAATACTGCAATAAAAGAAATATTTCAATTAATTAAGAACAAAGCAAAGTTATCAGCAACTTTACAGTTTACATTTTACACACATCCACAAATATAATTGTTCTGATTTCAATATGTTTTTCTTGCTAGTTTATTTAATTCCAGTACTAAGATGAATGAATCAAATAAAAAAATAAACATAATTGAATCATAAAATGTAATAAAAGTAGAAGTTCAAAATCTCAAACAAAAGAATCAAAAGAGTTAAACTTCTAAAATTACATTAGGTACCCCATTTTTCTTTAAAAAAATTAAAAAATATACCCCACCGTGTCCGGTACGTGTCCTCCGCGTGTCCCAGCCATGTCCACCCCGTGTCCCAGCTGTGTCCACCCCATGTCCAATAAAAAATAATTTCTGGACACTTCACAGAAGTGTCTGACACTGGTACGGGACCCCTGGGAGGGGTGTCCGTGCTTCATAGGGTCCTAGGTTCAAGTCACGCATGATGAAGCTGATATTTTCACTTTTAACCGATACAATTTCTAATGACCAAGTCCAAATTTGCCACAAGAGGTCCTAGGTTCAAGTCACGCATGATGAAGCTAATATTTTCACTTTTAATTGATGCAATTTCTATTGACAAAGTCCAAAATCCGGAGAGATTCTGACGTTTTATTCAGGATTTTAAGTTATTGATTCCTCATCGATTTCAAATTCAAGATTTCAGTGGGTTTCCAAGTCGATTTCAAACTCAAGATTTCAGTGAGGATCCGGTGAATATTTGACAACGGGATCTTAAATTCCAATCATATTTCTAGTAAAAAAAAAGGGAATTCTAGGAATTCTAATTTGGTAACTTTTCCAACTTATATGCTTGATATACACACCAATATAAGTGTTTTCATTAAAAGTATAATTTCTCAACATTATATGTTATTTTGGACGAATGATTGGACAAAGATGAATACATGAGTTCATAGAGGGTGCCACTCTATGGACATTAAATTGTTGAATCTGGGTTAGTTGAATCCCGATGATAATGCTGCCAATTTGAAAATCCAATTGCACCTAGGAGAGGTTTCAACTATCTTCAAGAAGCTATTATGCACCTCTAAGCCTTGATTTCGTAATTTCTTGTTAATTTTTTAAATTATGCTATTTTGGAATATTATTATATTAATGATATCCTCTAACAATGAATATATTGTTATTTATGTGATAGCCACTTTTTTTATCCTGCTCCAACAGGAGTAGCACAATTGGAAATAAAATGAGAGAAAATCAATTAAGATGGTTTGGACATGTACAATGAAGACATTTAAGTGAGCAAGTTAGGAAGAGTGACATAGCATTGAGAGTGATACTAGAGGAAGATGAAGACCAAAATTAACGTAGGTAAAGTTAAAAAAGAAGAATATGATCACATGTGGTTTGACAAAGGCTATGGCCTTATAGACAGAGAGGAATGAAAACGTAGAATTCATGTAGCTGACCCCAAGTAGTTGGAAAAAATACTTGGTGGTGGTGGTTGTTGTTTTCATTGTCAAAGTAAAGCTTGTATGTTAAAAAGAATATATATGGATAAATTTTCATTTGTCTTCCATTATGGAAATTTGCATTAAGACTTGCGCTCTACTAATTCCTTTTAGAGTGCATATTATGTCTTTTTGAGATAAGGTAAGTTAGTTGATCGACGCTCTTTATCCTTGAACTCGGCCCACATATACTTAGACTGCTCAAGCGAGTCTGCAGCTTTGGCTTCTTCAAGCTAGGGGAGTTCACCAGACAACTCTTCCCAAGTCTTTAATTGGAGAAAGAGGAGGTGACACGAGTGAATAAGAAAGATAGAATTATTCATCACCCAATGGAATCCACCCAAGGGATACAAAGTAAGGATAACAAGAAGAACTCCTCGGAAACGTCACACCTCATCATAAGGTGTTCAAATTCTGCAATGTAGTCTTCAACCAAAACATCCTCTTGCTTGAAGTTGTGAAATTGAAGAAAAGAATCTTGTTGATAGTTCTCCGGCAGAAACTCTCTTTAATTCCTTCTTTATTTTTTCCCATGTTACAATTCTACTCCTTCCTTCACGAACTCGTCGCTTCTTAAGGTAATCCCATCAAATGGAGGCATGCTGCTTCAATTTGATGGCTACTAACTTCCATTTACGGTGCTCCGAAATGTCTTCAAAATCAAAAACCTTTTCAACAGAGTGGAGCCAATCAATGAATTCATCCGGATGTTGCCTTCCTTCAAACTCTGGAATTTCAACTTTTATATCATAATATTGTTCGAATTCATCCGGATGTTGTCTTCCTTCGAACATGACAACGAGGAGAAGCCTCTTCGCTCGATGAGAAATTTTGGGCACGATTGAAGGGGTTAACCTCCTCCTCTTCATCATTTGATACCAAATTGATGCAGGAAAATTATGGAAAAATAGGAGGTAACACAAGTGAACAAGAAAGATAGAATTACTCACCACCCAATGGAATCCACCAAAGGGATACAGAGTAAGGATAACAAGAAGAACTACTCCTTAAAAGTCAATAGGGGCTTAAATAGTGAATTGGAACAACCCTCCAACAATAGGTAGATTTCCAAAACAAACTACATAAAGACCAAGGAAGAAAATGAAAATGCACAAGACTTCTTTGACTCAACTCTAAGTAAACTTATTAAAGACTTAGGGACTTGAAAGTCCATCAAAACAAGACCTAAAAATCAAAGTAACAAACTTGGAAACTCAACAAAATGTGCTGGAACCGAGAAGAGAGATGAGCAGCCCAAAAACTATCAATTTCCCGAGTTTCAGAATTTTCAGTCAGCAAAATTGCCCTTTACCAAAAAATCCATAACTCCTAGGAATGTCTAAATTGCGCACAGTTTTTTGAATTTGAAAGCAGACTAATAGAGCTTTCCAACCATATATAACTCTTCTTCTAATTCTTCTCCAGCTGTAATCAGCAAAGCTACAAAGTTGACCCAAAACGACATTCTGCATTTTCTAAAAAAACTTAGCCTAAATAACATTGAGTTGGTTGAGCTTTGGCAAGGGATGCTCCGGCGTCATTCTGATAGGCCTCAGATTCCACATAAACGGCATTCACCTGCTGATCCAATGCATTCTCCTCCCGAGATTTGGGGTTGTTTGGAAACACGCTCACTATAAGTACAATCGTGAACCCCAACTTTCACCCTCTCTCTATTCTAGGCTGGGATTCACCCTTTAGGTCTTGATTGAGCCTAGGACTGCAGCACCAAGGAGAACAGGAAAGTGGACCGTATTGGTAATTTTGAGAAGTTCCTAATTTTTATTTTTATACTTCTTTTCCTTATATAAGGTTGAAGCCAAGGACATGGTTTTAAGAGTTGAAGGTCTGTGTATCAGTCGAGTTTTAACGGACTCGACCAGGTTCAAGTTTGATATTCACTGATATACATTGGGATTTCAAATCACACAAGAGACCTAGTTTTGACCGAGTCGGCCAAGTTTCGTCTGACTTGGCCAAGTTAGGGCATCTGATGGTGTGCAAGGTCAATAAAATTTCACGTCACAGTTTCTGATATTGTTACATAATGAGGGCAACACCCCTCTCTCCAATCCCACACACAAAAACAAAAGAATCAATATTCGGATATTAACACAAGTCTTTATAATCCTTCAGAGGCACATGAACGGGAAAGGCCATCAAAATAACCCCAATAGGATATAGACGTGCCACCAAGGGACTTCCTTGCCCCCTGACAAAACCTTCAAACCCCCAAGAATGACAGCTTTAGGAGAGCCCATTTCATCAACCCAAAATGTATATTATAAATTTATGATGAATTACTTAAGCATAGTAATTCACTAATTGTTAATCATTTGTAATCGAACCTCCATGAGAACATAGAAACACACCTTTAAATATATGCACATATGTCAGCTGGCCACTCACCTCAATCATCATGGTCATGATAATGATGACAATCCCAATGAGGATGAAAATGGAGATTTATTACAAATAGCACAATAATAATGATAAAGACAAAAGGTAATAAAAAAAAAATTATGTTATAACTTTTTATACAGGGAATTGTAATAAAATTGGGCAACTAGTTATAGTTGCATTAATAATTACCAATCCAGAATGGATATCAACTAAAAATTAAATACATGATAGGAAATTTTTTATAATAAGTTCAAAGTTCTACAAAATTGGAGACGTGCATAGGAAAAATTTTAAAGAGTGTTTGAAATGCGCAGGTAAAAAAAATATTGGGAAAAAAAAAAAAAAAAAAAAAAAAAAAAGGAATTTGTTCCAAAAATCAACCTTGATTTTCGAGAATTATTACGTATCCATTTCAATAAAATCCAACTTTTAATCCAAAAAAATTTAGACAATGTTACACGTATAAAAAAAGACGAGGATATCTACAAAAATTTAGACCAAAAGAAAAATAATAAGTTATTCTAATTGTTTCTAAAGGATTTACATGACCATTTTCATTGTCATTTCATCTAAAAATGAACATCTGAAAATCTTATCTATGTTTAGGATTTTTAATTATAAATGCCTAGAGCTTCAAAAATGCAATAAAAAATTGGTTTCTAGCAACTTGCTCCCCACCCCTTTCCTCTAGGAATGAGAGTAAACTCTAACATCTGCCCCTAGCGCAATAAAAAGTTGCTCACGCTTAGAATTGGAAGGTTGGATCTGTTGATGTAGCCATCTAAGTCCAAAAGAACGATTAATGTTGTATGCAGCCCAATACAAAAGGTAACATCCAAAAATGTTTAAGCTTATCTTGTGGGAAGATAAGGAAAAATAGAACGATTAATGTTACATGCAGCCCATAAGCCAACAAAAACAAAAAAGTGAATCAAGCATATAAGGACTGCTACACCCCAATACAAAAGGTAAACATATCCAAAAAATTTAAGATAATCTTGTGGGAAGATACGGAAAAATATAAGGAAAGACAATCTTGCATATTAGAAGGCCTGTGGTGGGTCCTCATTTTTGGTATTGCTCGATGGATTTTACTTGCCAAAGGAAAAAAAAAAGAGAGAGAGAAAAGAAAGCTGCATATGAATCCGACAATAATTGCATCTCTCTTGAGCAATACAAATCTAACAATCACCAAAGAATACACACTTGTTTCCAAAAGGCAACACCAGTTTATTTTTCATATTGTGTGCTGCTAAACAAAAAAAAAATTTCATGGTTCAACTTCATCTTCTCTTATTTTAGTAGCCTTCATTACAAATTCCAAGAACAGGGAGACATTTCCAGATCCCACAAAGAAAACTCTCCATCACAAATTAAGATTTAAAAATGCAGACAATGTAAAAAACTAGTACATGGTTGAAACTTTAAAAAGGAGTAATAGCCAAGATATATTTCACCCCACGTAGTCGGCAAGAGGTATCAAGGTGATGAAAAAAATCCAAAACCAAGATTATGATATTTATAATGAAGCTTGTTTCTTTTCTAGTCAGACATACCTCACCAGAATTAACAATGATCGTGTGAGGAGTAAAATTGGCACCAGAAGTATGTGTGAAGCATTCACCTACATCAAAGTAGAAGTGTGAAAATTATTAGTACATTTGAATTATAGATTATGCAGAAAATCTGCAAATTTATAAATTCAGTATTCTCCCCTCCCCTGGAGCCTATGATTGGATAGAATTTTCTATGACCATGGCAAGGTGACAGTAAAGAGATTCACCAAAATTGAGAAGGCTACAGTGTTTGTATGTCTCTTCATGTTGAAAACAACAAAAACAACGTCAACAACATTGTAAGAATCCATGCTTCACAAGATAGTGGACAACTGGAGATTCATGGAAAGTTTACAAGCTAAATTTGATAAGTTACAAATAGTTTTTGGAGAAGGTGGCAAATGCAAAGAACTGAAAGGTATTCTGGACTTCCTTAGTTGTGACAAAATCTATATCTGCACAGATGAAAATAAATAAATCACCCACAACAGCAGCTTCGCTGGGTCATAAATCATCTCACATGCCCAGATCACATGCTGAGAATAAGTTTGCTATTCTATCCTAGTGGTATATTATCTTAATTATCTAGCTCCTGTCAAAGTATATTTGAATAAAAATTTATAGTAACAAATATAATCCTGGTATATATTTCACTCTTCAACTATTATGGATGGTTTGGCTTTTCATTTCTCATGTAAAACTCATACTCAACCCAACATCACCTTACGGTGCGCAAAACTCATAAATGATAAACTTGGGAGTAAAAAGCCTACCTTCATATTACTGATTCCATCTTTAGAAAAGGAGTATACAAGACAACCACCTGAATTTTTTTGACCAAGAACCAACTATATGCTAAAAAATGACTAACAATGTTTGCACTTATATTCAACAAAAACTATCAAGTATTTGCATACCAACTAGTCAAAATATGACCTCTATTGATAAACCCACATGGTCAAAAGAATTGCTTCAACTTAGGCCCAATAAGGTTTATTCTACTAGATAACTAAGGCAATAAATAATTCAACTGTATGCATCCCTTAAGATCCATAAAATTCAACGAATTCCTGGAAACTAATCCCAATTTCATAATCGCTGAAATTCATTGAATTCAGGAAGGCCGTGATACTCTATTTCTTTAGGTTGTGGAATATCCTACTGGAATAAAAGCCAAAAGTCTCATTTGAGGTTTTGCAAGGGATAAACACTCCTCCTTGGGGACGGCTTACTCCATTCCAGGTGTCAAGCTGCTATTTTCTCAGGCTAGTGCTAGTTATTAGCATATTTGTTGCAAAGGAACTGAACATTTGAAATTTTTTTTTTTTTCTTTTTGCTAATAATGCTAGAGATATTCAGGATTGTATAACTCTCTCAAATCCTTTCCTGTGAGAAAGATATTCTACTGTCCCTAGGTTAACAGAAAAAGATTGTATTAAATTAGAGTAAAAAAGTTATGGTTCTTAAGTGTTCTTTCCGACGATTATGTCAAATTAGACCCAAAAGCTATAAATCTTTACTGTTCTTTCCCTCCTTGCCATAGCCATACATCCATTTCATTAAACCCTACTACTCGACCAGTATATTCGTAAATGAAGGTACCCAATGCTTCTAGAATGGATCAGTCATTGTTCAAAAATGTACTCGTTGCTTCTAGGAATGGATCAGTCATTGTACAAAAATGTACCATTTACTTGCTCAGAAGTAACAATTTACTTATTCATAATTCATAAAAATTACCGAAATGGGAAAAAAAATGGACAAATTATTAAAAAGAAATTCCAAATTCATATTTTTCACCAGGTGAGGCTTTTTGCACTATCCCCTCCCTGGTTCCCCCCAGCTCAGCAAAAAAATAATTAATTAATTAAGTAGATTTAATAATAAATAAATCTTGTTTCAAGTTTATAGAAATAATTTCAACTTCTGAAGCAAATAAATTTAACTCAAATTCAAAGGTTAAACCTTTACCAAATATAGAATTTAATGGCCTTTATCAGCGAAAGTTCAAACCACTCGAATCAGATAAGAAGATTTGGCAATTTAATAGATAATGAATATCAAAATGTTATTTGCAAAGTGACAGTCATTATTAGAGTTATACGAATGTATTGGACAGGAGAAGAAATTTTGCTCAGAGAGCCAATCTTGTCTACTGCTATCTAAATTAGAGAGCTCATAACTTTAATTGTACATTACACCACTCAAAGAAAAGGAAATGAGGGAGTAGGCCTTTGTTTATATTGGTGCCAATTAAATAACTAGTTTTCTGACAAATGCTTAGCACCTGTTCATTAGAAAGGACAATGGGACTTAAAAGTTTTACATTAAATCAGACGGTCAAAATTTGACACACATTTGTCATAGGCATTAGAATTCTGTAGCAACATGCAACATAGTCTGTTGAATTTAGTTAATCAGGACTTGGCATCCAGAGAGGGTTGAAACAACTCTTATTTCATCTGAACTTGTGATTGCATAACTCACTAACACTATAATTTGAGCTAGCTTGCATATCAATGTATTTTGCCATGAAATGGCAAGAAGTAACAGATTTAGTCCAGGAGGAATAATCCTCACAATTGCCCCAATTGCTTAAAAGACCTCCTTTGTCCCCCCAGAAACAAACATTTACTTTCAGATCCAAACAGAAGCATCACATGAAATGGTCCCACATAAACTTCAATATTAACAACTCCTCAAATGGATGACTCAAATCCCAAGTCCAAACAAAAGTTGCAGCTAAAACAAATACATGCTGTAAATAATCACGAAAGATAAAATGAAGCTCTTGACATTAATATCAGAACCAAACCAAAGGGACAAAGTGGATGTTGAGTAGGGTGTGAGTATGTTTCTTGGCAATGAAATAAATAAAAATCTGAGATATTAAAATGCTAAAATTTAAAATGGAAATCAGCTGCTAAAGGTATTTACCAATATTACTTGAATTCTCCCACTCAACTCTATGTCGTTTCTTGTTCACCGAACCCTTTGGCCGCCCTCTACTCTTTCTGGCCGAGAAGTCACCAGTAGGTGGTGTACTCTGCTTTCTGGCTGAGAAGTCACCAGAAGGTTGTGTACTCTGCTTTCCGGCTAAGTCACCGGTAGGTGGAGGAACCGACGAAGAAATTGGCATTGGCAACAATGCTTTGGAAAGGGCCCCATCTGGTCCGTACTTTCTTGGTCTACCTCTCTTCTTCTTTTCAGCCATTCCAGGCATTCCCATGCTCACTGGCATTGCAGCCACTGCCGGTGCTGCAGGCACCTCGGTTGGGTTTACCGTTCTAGGCGCCACATGAAAATTTGATGGAGTCTCAGCTCCAATCAGAATCACTCCTGCACTGATACCTTCTGTGACTTCCATGTGGTTGAATCAAACACTACAATTATCTGTCACATAGAAGAAAGAAACTCATCAAACATCAAGAAAACAAAACCCCGAAAATGGAAAGAAAAAGAAAGAAACCTTCAAGCAAAACCAGTACTTCATCATATAGAAACAGTAAAAGAAGCTTCTTCAAGCTCAACATGTTCTTTAGTTTCAAACACACAAAAAACTAGTAAAGAAGACAAAACTATAATTAAATCTTTTACCAAATAAAATGGCACAAATATGCAAAAATAACCAAAATTAGTAATAAAATCTTGAACAAAATTATTAACCCCCCTTCTCACTCTCACTTACACACACACAAAAGATTACTAAACAAACAAAACTGTAATAAAATGTTAACCGAATTGTTAATTAATTATGAAAAAATAACACCCCCTCTCTCTCTCTCTCACTCTCACACACAAAATTAGTAAACAAGCAAAATTGTAATACAATCTTAACCAAATTGTTAAAAAATGAATATGCAAAAATAACAACCCCCCCTCCTCTCTCTCTCACACACACACACAGACGCGTACACAAATTAGTAGACTACAAGAATAAATAAATAAATAAAATCTCAACCCGACTTTTACTAAATTAAAAGGAAATCTACAACCAAAAAATAAGTATGAAGCTAAAAAAAAAAAAAAAAAAAAACTCAAACAGACATTTACTTAATTAAATCTTCAAAGAAGGAAAAAAATCCATCCAAAGTCCATAGCACAAAAAAAAATATATATATATATATATAATAATAATAAAGGAAGAGGAAGAAAAAAAATAAAAATAAAAAGTAGAAAATCATCCAAAACCCACCAAAAAATCAAATTCATACTCGACATTTCGTTTGAACCTCAAAGATTAAACATGCAACCCTCAAACCCATATAATAAATCAAACGTAAAATCAGAAATCTACACATAATCAATTTCAAACACAACCACAAACTGTAGCAATAACTTCTAAATTCAAAATCAACTGTTCATATAAAAGCAGTAAAACTTACACTGTTTTCTGTCAGAGCCTTTTCAAACTCGCAGAGCTCGAACAGTATTCCAATGGCGTCCTCTGGTCACCCCACAAACAGATCAAAATTTTCAAAAATCAACAAAAAAACAAAGAAATTTTGTTTTTTTTTTTCTCAGAAGTAACCGTTGTTCCGGCGAAAAAAACATGTTTTAAGTTGCCCAAAAAAACCGGTCCACATATTTATACATATAAGGTGAGTGAAATCTATATACAAGTTATACTACTATGTAATTATGTATACATAAATATGTGGGTATATATATATATATATATATATATCGAAATAAAAATAAAAGGACTATTTCATCAAAAACACCCTTACTTACTATTCTGAGTTTGCAAATTATATGACAGTTTTAAGTGAGTAGCGGAGAGTGAATTGAAATTAATAAAATTAAATTAAATTAAATTAAATAGGGTTGCGAGTGAATTGATTCTTCATTACCTGAAAAATGAGGCTAAGGAGTGAATTAATTCTTTTTTTCCCGAAAAATGAGGCTAGCTAGTGAATTGGTTTTTGGTTACCAAGAAATGAGACTAGAGAGAGAGAGTCTATCTTTGTTGAAAGTATTAAGTTGAACAATTGCCTCATCAATCCGCTTTTTATAACGAAAAGAAGTTTACCATTTTCCATAAATGAAAATTAAAATTTTTTTAAGAGGAATTTGAAGTCCGTGAAATAAATGAAATTTCAAGGGAATGGTCAAAAGGCTAAAACAGTATTCTGATAATAAATGAAAATTTTGAAAAGAAAGTGTGTGTGTGTATATATATATATATATATATATATTTGAATTTTGATTTTTTTATAAGGTGAAAGTGTAAAATCCCTAAACTATTTAAATATTGCAAAATGTCCCATTAACTATATTTTGAAGCAAAGTAGTCCCTAACTTTACAAATATTACATATTGCCCCTTCGGGTCATCCACCAAAGTACATTATCCTACCGTCAAAGTGTTACAATTACTTATTTATCCCCACTTGTTAATTTATCGTAAAAGCTATAAAATATCATGTGTAAAATATTTATAATATCCTCAATCAAGTTAAAATTATTGATGAAGATCATATTATATTAGAGAGGAAAATGTAAAAGTACATTGTGAAGACTATATATATATATTTTTTTTTGAGACAATCCTTTATTTGAAAATTAAAATAAAAAAACGACGGGTCATTAATTGGACTACTGGACTTGTTTCGACCAACCTGACTCTAATACAATTGTTTAGAAGATTGAACTAATGCCTTTAAACGCCTATATCATTGTGTTGGTAAAATATTGCACCACTAATTTATTTATTTATTATTTTGTAAATTTTTGTCCAAAAAACTAGTTTAAGATTGAGAAGTTGAAAAAGGAATATTGCTGGTTTTATGGTTTCTTGAATTGAAAATAACTCACCTTTCAATATATATATATATATATAGAATCATCGTATGTATGTGTGTGTGTGTATATATATATATATATATATCCTAGGGATTTCCAAGTTTTATATGAAGTCAAACAAACAGCCATATTGATCAAATAAGCACTGAGAATGGTCAACGTTGTCAAACTACATTGCAATAGCAAATTGTTTCTTATAGAGCAAGGGGTAAAATGGTCATATGACCGGGCATTTTGGCCAACAAATGCAAAACCAAAGTCAGGTGACTCTGATCGCTGGAAAATGTTTAATCCGTGACCTAAAAGGCGGCAATATGTAATATTTGTATAGTTGAGGGTTAATTTGTTCCTTATGCTTTAGGGTCATCCCTGCAATTTTTCAATAGTCTAAGGGAATATATTTTATTTTATTTTTTTTTAAAAAAAATTTAGCTATAAACAGATGGGGTCACTTTTATGCTAATGACCTGTAAATTGAGTTTTTTTTTTTTTTTTTTTTTTTTTGAGATAATACAATAGGGAAGTGGGGGGTAATAAATTATTGTGAAGGGATTCGCTGCATTGTCAGCTTGTTTTCCTTTTTGCATCCTATTATTTAATAAAAGTTGTATTAATTACACACTTATTAATTCATCATAATATTAGGAAAAAAAAATATTTCATCATAATATTACAATAAACCTAAAAATACAATATTATATGATACTTTTCCGGGTAAGAATGATGCCATTAATGTTTGACGAGATATAAAATTATTATTTTTTCTATTAATGTCAAATATATAATATTATTATTGTGTTTTTTTTTTCCAATAAATATTAATTTTATTTTATTAATGTCGGTTTTATGAAACCATTAATGTATTCTTTTTTCGGTAAGTATGATACCGTTACGGGATATAAAACAATTAATTTTTTTTATTAGTGTCGGATATGTGTAATCATTAACATCTTATTTAATTTCAAGTGTTCTTAAATTGAGTTTACTGTTCATTTCAGAAAATTCCTTTTCTAATGAATTCACCCGTGTGGATTAACAATGATTTATACTTAGATTTAAGGTTTTTTTTTTTTAAAAAAAAAAAAAAAAGAATTGACTTTCTTATTATTCTCACTGATAAGAAGTTTGTAAGGAAGTATGTATTAATATTCTCACTTTTTGCACCCTATTATTTAATAAAGTATGTATTAATTACACACATTAATTTATCATATTATTTTACAATATATCTAAAAATGCAATTTTATATGATACCATTAATGTGAATATATATATTTCTTTCGATAAGTATGATACTATTATTGTTTGACGAGATATAAAATTATCAATTTTATTTTTAATTAATGTCGGATAGATGATACCATTAATGTGGTTTTTTGATGACGAGATATAAAACTATTAAATTTTTTTTATTAATATGGAATACATGTAATCTCTCATAAATTACATGTTATTTAAAACCTGCTCTAGAACCGAGATTATGTTCTAGTATTAAGAAAATTCCTTATCTAATTAATTACCTGTGCAGATTAATAATGATTTATACTTAGATTTAAGTTATTTATTTATTTTTTATTTCTTAAATAATTGATTTTCTTAACTAGATAGGTGAATCATGAATAAAAACAGCAAAATTAATATTCTCACTAATAAGTTTGTAAACACGTATGCATTAATATTCTCCCTTTGTTGCATCCTATTATTTAATAAAGTATGCATTAATTACACACTTGTTAATTAATCATCAAATTTAACAATATGCCTAAAAATACAATATTATATGATACCGTTAATGCTTTCTTTTTTGGGTTAGTATGATACAATTATTGTTTGACCAGATATAAAACTATCTATTAATGTTGGATATATAATACTATCGGTTTATCATTCGCTTTAGAGAATTCTTTATGTAATAAATTAGTCGTTTGAATGAAGAATGATTTATACTTTAGATTTAAGATTTTTTATTTTATTTTTGTTGAAATAATTGATTTTCTTAGCTAGATAGATGAATCATGAATGAGGGCAGCATTTGCAAACTTCTATCCCATAAAAATTACAGTAAATAACATTCGTCTGTAACTCTATGAATCCATATAAAATATGTATTTATATATATTGCAATATGATTTCTATCTAAAAGTTTTGAATAGCTGATGATGGGCAGATTTTTTTTTTTTTTTTTAAATTTTAAGCAACTGAATATATGAAAATAGATAATACAAAGGAGGGCCTTAGGCCAAACATCCCAAATGGGACACAAAACAAGCCCAGAGTCAGCAAGGGCTAAGCCCAAACACAATACATATAAACAAATAACCGTAATTAATTGATGAAATATCCGTTAATTGTGGTTATGAGTTATTAACTATGAAGCACGGACACTCCTCCCAGATCTCCCAATTCATGTCGTGGCATTAGTATCTAGAGTTGAGTTCATAAATAAACAAAAGGATATATATATATACATACAGATAGAGAGAGAGAGATGTATATTATGGTATTATACTTATAAATCTACTGAGATTCCCAAATCAAAATTTACCCATCTTTTAAAACTAAAGCTAAAACTTGCCAAAGCAAATTCAGTAGAAATCTTGAATTCTAACCAAAAAGGCAAGTAAAGCTACAGAGGACCTATTTGCTTGACAAGCAACTTTATACACACTTCAAATTCACATTAGTGCGCCAAAAGAACAAAGAAGAAAAATACAATAAAAAATCACAAAAAAACAAGGTAGTAACCTGATATCCACCACAGAAATTAAAACCAGCCTATATTCCCCAAAACAATCAAAAACCAATCTCTCGGATTCGGAATCATAACCTTTCATATTCTCTGGTCACATTAGCAGAGATTTCCAGACTCAATTAATTATCTTTTGCATTAACATATTGCACTTTGTTAAAAAGTCCCAAAATACTTCAGTATTTGTTATGCTATACAAAAGTAAAAAAACGAAGCCATGAAAACCAGAATGGTTACTTAAAGGAAACTGCAAGAGGATTGATATACTAGCTCATTCTTTGTTGCTAAGTTCCAAGTTGCAACACTGATCTATGGATGCGGTTAAGCAAGGATGAAGCCGGCTCTTCTCTCCTCATAAGAGTATTCGATACCTTCAGCACCACCATGAACAAATGGGGTAGCTGGGGTTGTGGCTGTCTGCATTGCACTCGAGACTGTTGAAGGAGTTGTTGGCATTGGGATTGGCATCTTCTTCGGGGTTTCGTTCTCATCAACACCGGAAAGAATCTTACCCGGACTTGCAACTAGCATTTTGTTATTAGGGATTGCTTTCTGAAGTGCATTTGGTGATTTGTTCTGGTCTTGCATATTTGCGGCGTTGGCCTTAGATGATAATGCAGAGCATACAGGAGAGAGGGGCTTACGAACTGAAGGCGAATCAATTTCAAGTGCATTTGATGCATTGACGTTGTGCTGCTTTACCGGAGGACCAGTGACATCCAGGTTTTTCTTTCCTGCACAAAAATTCAGACCAAACAAGTGAAAACAAATGCAGATGAAAATTCATGAAAGTTTACAATCACAATTGTCTTGGATGCACTGACTGTAACCAACCAGGAATAGACAGTTTCCCTTGCATGGTGAATTGTTACAACTATTGCATAAATCTCCAACAGTTCGATTTTTTCATGTCTTTTTGGTAGGAGAAAAACTATTTGTAAAGAAAATAATGGTGAAACATTTTGATATCATCAATTGGTCTAAACCAACAGATCGTGGTGATTTTCATGAATTCCTCATACAAAGCCCATATGACAATAAAAGATCCTCCACTGCTTCAGAGAGACAAGCCCGTTAATGGAGCTTGGTTTTAAAGGCCCAGATGCAAGTTGAGTGCAACCAACAATAAGAGGAAGGGAAAATACTTGGAAGAATACAGTTTAAAATAATTACCAGAAGACAGAGATGCAAAGCTACCACATTGATGGTCGTTTCGTGAACTGTAGTGCAAAGCTACCACATTTGTTATGGGACGAGAACGGAGAGCACTTTTCCCAACATTAGGGTTATGAAGCATAGCTCCTCCAAGCGAGAATCTTTTATTACTTGCACACCCTGTTGAAGTTGTAGAAACCTTTTTCCCACTGTTTAAAGGACTTGGTTTTGACCCAAAAAGTGCTTCCTGCTCTGTCATCAACTGTCCCTGAAGCTTCTTATTGTCCTAAAATACATAAATGAATCGTGCATAGAGAAACTTGGTCATATTCAGGGGAAAAAATCATTAAAATAAATGAACGATTGGTTAAGCAACAAAGCCCATACTCTGTGTCTTTGCCGTTCTTGCTCTTTCTCCTGCTTTAAGTTGCTGTATTGTTCCAGCAAAGAAAGAAGACGAACCTAAATTACAACAGAGATCACATAAAGAGAGACCAGTTGGCATAAACAGTGAAAAATAACAAACAAGTAAGAAACAATGAAGATCAACCTAAATCAAGTACAACTTAAAAATATAGGCTGTAGAAAACAAAATGACTGTCAATTGTCGATATAACAAATTTTAGCATATCGAAAGGGAGTGCTTACACCATCGTATGAGAAATCAACTCCTCTTTCTTTCTTCCAAGCAACTGCTTTTGAGGTCAATGCCTCCACCATTGCTGCCCGACACCAAGCAGAACAAGAAACTCATGAAAATGCCAATTAGAATAATGAAGATGTTCTATATACATCTAATTGAGCGAGAAAATATATGTGCCAAAATGACTGTCCATGATTTTATTACGCAAATGTTTATGAACAGATGTCACAGCAATAAATTCAAATGGCTTTCTTTAGCAACCACATAAAACTAATTCTAACTGCGGCTTCTCTTAGTGGGATGGCAAATTCCCACTGTACAAACTTAATTCTTCTGTAAAGCAAAAGAATTATCATCATCATCATCATCCTTGCCTCTATCCCGTACCAACGGAGTCGCCACATGGATTCTCTTTTTCCAATCTTTTCTATAGTAAGCCATTTCTCCTAATAGATTTAATATTTTAAAATAATTTCGTATCACTTCATCCCATATATTTTTGGTCCACCTCTGCCTTTTACCTTCTATGCAAATCAATCTTCCTTTCCTCAGGTCAATTCTATATTAAACACAAACTGAACCTCTAACTAATCGCATTGTGGTTGACATCATTTAGGGTCAACCTAGCTTTGCATAATTTTATCCTCTAAGACTCATCTATAAAGGATCTGTTGCTAATAAAGCAAAGATGCATACCTGGAATTTTATTAACCAGAGCCCGAGCTTTCTCAGCACGCTTCAAAATAAGATGCGTACCTCTTCCAGCATTATAACGATTATCATCCTATTATAACCACCATATTTTAGAACACTGAAGCAGGAATATGGAAATTTAACTACATAATATTCACAATCACGAAAGCAACAAAAGTATCCAACCCTGTTGTACTCTTCAAGCCAGCACTCCTCTTCACGTGCAGCCAACCACTTCTCAACCTTGTCAAGTATGTCTTTCCTGTTAAAAGCTTCCTCTTTAACCTTTGAAATCTGAAGCTCAATTAATTCCAGTAAGTATGAAGGGTCGATTGCTCCTGCAAATTAATAATTGCATTATCAAGGACAGTGAAGAAATAGGAGTGAAAAGAGAAATAACATATAACCCAAAAAGCTAAATCACAAACAAGCTTTGAGAGTGTACACTCCCTCCTTGAATAACACAGCTTGATGTCGGTCATGTGGAAAATTAAAAGAAAACAACATTCGGTATTGCAGTATTAGAAATATTTCCAGTATAAATTAACACAAATTTATGTAGTTAGTATTCTATGAACAGTTTGGACAAGACTTTCACCAGACTCTATAGCTTCAACTGAAACATCCATTGTGTTAAGTGCTTCATCAACCATGTGTGCCTTCCTGCATATCTCCTCTAAATTGGACCTCTTTTTCAAAAGAACCTCCTTTATTTTACTTAATTTCATCTGTTGCAACCTCAGCACTTCTTCCTCAGCCTGCAGAAAAAAAATCTTATAACTTGTTTACTCGCTAATATAAACTCTTTGTAGAGCAAAGAACCAGATGAATAAAAAAATTTGCTGCTGTAAAGTGACAAATTACATACAGTGTTTAGGAAATCCACTGAGAGAAGATTGGGTTCAGTAATTTCGTTTTCTGAAGCAACTATATTCCTTGTAATATTCTGAAACATTTGTTGCTCCTCAATAGGTGTATCCATCAGACTCCACAGCTCCACCATAGTAGTTGCAAGATCTTGAAGCTGAAGCAGCTACAAAGGTCAGTACTGCTAGGCAGAAAATCATTGAGCAACATAAGGAAGAGTGAGACACATTTTTTAGACCAACACTGACCCTTTGCATTCTTTCCAGCTTCAATTCTTGCAAACCACAGATTGCATTAGACAACCTCTCAATTGTGTCAGAACTAATGTTATTTGTGCCACTGGAATCATCCAGATTCGGGTGAATCTCACTAATCGTAACCTTGAAATCCATACCAAGTACCACACATAGCGAATTCAATGTATTCAGGAGATCTAGCACCTGCTTTAGGCGGTCACTCTGCAAGAAAGATCAAGCAAATTCAGTTAAAGAAGCGTTCATTGTGAGAGCACTCTTTAAGAACTCAAAAGGTTTGAACAAAATATGACTTCTATAAATGAAACTGGATGGGAAAAAAATGCTGCAAAAAAATTCCTTCAATTTCTGTTTTTTCATACTGTTCACCACCCAAAAGACATTTTTGAACCTTCTCCAAACTACAAAATTCATGCTAAGGTTTGGTATAACTGCTTGCATCCCAAGTTTTCTCAAATTTTATTTATTTATTTATCATTATTATTATTATTTCTATTATTACCACTTTCAATCAAATGCAAAACAGACAAATAATTACTATGAACGAGAACCGTGACCAGATGAAACAAGGAAAATAAGAAAAATGGAAATCAGACCTTCTCTTTTTGGAGTGCAAGCAACTGACTGCGTAGTTCTTCTAGTTTTTTCAAGGACAAATCACTCTCATCGACAACCGTCGTGCAAAGGTCATCTTCTGTAGATCTATAAATCTCCTTTGAGATGCTCCGTATTTGATCCAGAACTTTGACAAATTGGCTCCTCCTCTCACTTTTTCTCTTCCGCATCTCCTCTAGTTGGGGCATAATGGCTTCCAGCTCCTTTTTCAAGCTTCCAGCACTCTGCTCAAACTACAGAAATTGCATAAAATTCTAAATAAAATTGAAAAATACTATAGATGACCAAGAGAAAAAAATTAAAAACATACAAAAATGAAATTTAATTCTTCTATCCTATTCCTAACCTGCCTTATATGTACTGGTCGCTCACCCATTGCAGAACATATGTAAGTAAGTTCTGCATTAGAGTCAGCCAATGCTTGCCGCAGATGAGCTCTACACTTGCTTGCTTGATCCACCTTTCTTCTGTAAACCTCCAGACACTGTTGTTCTAGTTCGAAGAGCATTCTGTCCCTTTCAGCATCAAGCTCGCCAACTTCGTCCCAAATTTTCTGATTTCAACAAAAATTATGAGGTAAAATACTGGATAACAGTATCCCAGGGGAAAAGGCTTATGCAGGAAACATTTCAACAACGCATACTAGAAAAGGAGAGAAAAACGGATGGGCAGGTGATTGATGTATAGAATGACAAGGATCAACAAGAATTCGATAAAACCTGTAGCTCAGATAGGAGAGATCCACACGGCGTTTCTGTATGCAAAAGCTGATTATTTTGGTAATTATACATGTTGAAACAATTGCCACTGAAAGGAAAAAAAAATGTGTACCACTTAGATCTCAAACAAAAGTAATCCATGGAGAACATTCGACAAGCGAATAATAACCAGGGAAGGGGAAAGAAAAAGAAAAGAAAAAATTCAACAATTGGCATCACAATAAAAGCACTTGTATCCCGTAGATGAGAGCAAAGATATGTCAGATAAGACGGAAAAAAGGATGATCACAGACAACATGTCAGAAATATTTGAGAATAAATATTTCTGATCATTATCAAGAGTCTTCAATTTTATGCCAGCTTTGGTGAGTTGAATTGCACATTTTATCTCAACAGTTGATTAAATTGACATCTTAAATATTCCAGAATAAGCTGAGAGTTCAAAGCTCCTCTCACTACTATAATATGTCCATGAACCCTATTGGGCTGCTTCTACTCCTTATTAAGTCTTCAATCACTAAAAAAGCTTCTTCATTGATTTCATCCTGTCTAAGACCATGACCAAATCAGAAAAGTGAACTTTTCCTCAAGTAGGTTACCAATGGGTCACCCCTAATATCTCTTTCTGTGATTATTTTATCCCCTCTTTTTTTCACAACAAGGCTTTCTATTCATACATCTTAAAACAAATTTCTTGATTGCTATAATTCAAAAATTCTTGCTTACAACCCTCATACCACCATGGGCCTCTTGGTAGTGCTGCTGCTACTGCTAAGGATTACACCTCTTCCACATAGCCTACACACACACACACACACACACACACATATATATATTGTAATCCTTTGTGCACTAAACAAAATCTATCAATTAGCTTAATTTATCAAATAGAGGGGCGACTATTACGATTAGTACACAACTTCACCGTTCTGAGCTAACTTTCCAAACCTTTTCGGGTAACCCCACCTATAGGTTAAACTAATGCCCTCGTCGCATGCACATGCTCCCAGAAACGTGCACTGGATAAACCAGCGAAAATCCTGTAAGGTTGGCTCCAATGGGAAGGGGGAGTCAAATACTTCAAAATTTCATATAAAGATGGGATAATTCACTAAATCAAAAAAGGAATTTCTATAGTTCATAGTATAATTAATGTAATTTTCATTTTCATAACACACATGTAACTGCAAATATTAGAACACTTACATCCACACAATATTTCATTTCATCCAGGAAAAAGAAACACACACAACACATTGGAACAGCAACATGATTATAAATTTATATAAATAAACAAGATGAAGATTATCAAAAACTCAGTGTCCTTTGAGATTAAAACGCATATAACAAGAAAGATTGTAAGGAGCCAAAATCAGATTAAAACTAAAACACAGACCCCTGGCAACTTCATGTGCCCAGGACCTGTCTGGTCTATATTGTTCAAACTTCAAAGTAAATAAATTATATAACTATCTAAAAAAAATCCTCTACTTAATTGACCAAGCCAGATGGACCAAATTTACATTCTCAGCCCAAAGAGTGTTAACAGCTATTAACTGATATCAGCGCATACCATCGGTACATAATATATCTAAAAGATCTAATAACAATTTAGGGGATCTCAAGATTTCAATTTATTAATACTAGAAAACTCTAGATTAAAAGAGTAAATAAATTAAAAATAGATAAGTAATGTTTAATACATGTTAATTTGTAAACAGAAAAAGTTAGTGACAAGCATGTTTTACGTGTTGAGCATCAAGTATTTTATACTACCTTAAATCATAGGTTCGTAATATTTGACCTAGCTGGTTGACAAAGAGCTCCATAATAGGAACATTCAAATGGTCTAATGAAATAACTAAGACTATGCTTTCACCTAATATAAAAGATTGAGTAAAAGTTTTTATCAAATGTCTTGTAGGTATTACTCTATTAGATCATTCTTTTTATCCAAATATAGCATAATTTAATAGTCACAATGGGTCTGACTCTGACATGAAAACTAGCAACTTCACAAACCAGTTATCACAACAATCTAAAACCTTCAAAGGGTAATTCCAACAAGAAGTGAAGAAATACTATAATACTACTACTAAAACTAATTACCACAACACGATTATATAGCATGATTAAACTTGTAAAATACACACACCTCTTGATCAGTTAAGGTCACCAACTATCTCTGATCCTGTAAATCATATTAGAGCGCGAAAAATCAGACTAGGTAAAAAAAAATTGAAATAAATAACAGTAACTTTCTAAATGCTTTCTCATAACACACACACACACTATTTTATCCGTTCATGCTATGAAGATCATCAATGCCCTAAATCCGAGGTTGCACACTATGATACCACTATAAGAAGCAAAGAAAATTCAGCTAATGCCCTGTTTGATCGGTAAGAAAATGCGAGTATAAAAAAGAAATAAAATCAAAATTAATTCCCAGCAATTAATCCTCTTCCATTCCCAACAAGACCTAGAAAATCATTCAAGTAAAACAGTGCAAAATTTTCTTTTCCTCTATCTTCTCATCACATAACAGAAACAGAGCATAACTTCAATCGACAACGACAAGTCAAAACAAGACTGATTAAGCGACTTAATCACCGAACTTCCTGACCTTTGCAGTCACTGGAGAACACTTCAAGTGTCGCCGCAAAAATACAACTTCGCCGTCGGAGAATTCTTTACCCGGCGAGAGGTTGGTCGAGATTTATTCAAACCCTACAGAAAGCGTAACGCCCTTTCGAATGTGTGTGTGTGTGTTTAAGAGCGAATTTGAAGGAGCCTAGGAGAGGGGAATGAATTATGGCAAATGAGCCGTTTGTTTTAGGAAGGAAACATAACGAGCGTTATTCCTGTTGTAGTTTTATTTCAACGGACGCTGATTGAGCGGTATTATATTACATTTGAATTTCAAAAAAAATAAATTAAAAATAATAAAAAAAAGGTTTTTCTTATTTTTGGTTTGTCATTCTATGTTTTTAAATTATCCCTGACACGATTGAAAATTTTTACGTTCTTGTTTATTCTAAGTTATGTGAAACTATGGCATTAAAACCAAGTAAATTTTTTTTAAAAATTTAATTATTTCTTTTATAGAGGATTGCATGCTATCTTCTTATAAATCATAATTGTCGTAAATGTCATAAATCATACTACATAAACTATTAGCTGGTTACAGAGTGTTGTTGAGCTTTTATTTTAAATATTTACTTTTTATTATGTTTGGTAACTAAAAAATTCATTTTAAATGGCAGACATTTTAGTTCACTAAATCCTTTTATACTAAGGAAGAGAGGTTCTATATTTTAAGTAGTCATTTTGTTAGCCAATTTTATCCCTTTTTATTATTTATTATAAAAAAATTATTCCTTATTTGATAGAGTACCATTATCAAACATTTCAAGAAAATGCATTAACGTAAAATTAGTAATAAAAAGTGTTTTGAGAAATACTGAGTAATTGTTATCAAACTTGTTAAAACATGTATTATCAAGAACTTAACATCTTTGTATTGATAAAAAAAATTATGAGGCTACCGATCTCAGAATAAAAAGGGACAAAATCTAATACGTGAGACACTCTCGCCATTACACGATTTAGGAAAGGTAGGGATATATGCTGAATAGACTGTTTCTTTATTTGGAACAGAAAATTGGCCCCTAGTTCAATACGACTGCCCTTTCAGTGCATCATACAATACCAAAATGAGAGGATGCTGTATTGTTCCTAATATGGCGCTACATGAAATTGATTTTAATAAAGACCAAATCAGTAGTCCCATCCCAACTCACGGCTACTGACTGATACAACTTGGACTTGTATTATACCTTCGGTAGACCATTTATGCGAGGAGTGGACAACAGATCTTGCTATAAAAACAGTTTTAAGTCCCGACCTAATGCGCTGCCATATTTGTGGCTCAGTTCCATGAGAAATTTTTATATGGTCCCGCCATTCAATGCCATATAGAAACAATTTTAAGTCCCGACTTAATGCGCTGCCATATTTGTGGCTCAGTTCCATGAGAAATTTTTATATGGTCCTGTCATCCAATGCCATATTTGTGGCTCAGTTTCACAAAAAAAATTTATATGGTCCCCGCCAATCATCCAATGACGCGGGACCATGTAATAACTTCTCCAGTCCCATGATCCCATCATGTATAGTCTCATTTTCAAGTGTTCAATTGGTGAGCTGCACATGATATTCTAATTTGACCGACGCACACCCAATTTTGCTCATTTGCTGCTGTTCTTGGACTCCAATTTGAAAGATGAATTTGGAGGATTGTCGACGCAACTGATCAAGGAAAATTTTGCTTCACTGACTTCTTCATCCATTTTCCCAAGGAGTTGGCAAGTAAATCCAATACAGACGGTAAGGGTACGTGTCTAGAAGCTTCATCCGTGACCACCGGCCAACATAGACCCTTGATACGTAAATCTCTACTGTACAGCACTGGATGTCACTTCCAGAATGAAGTCTTGATCCTGCCAGCAGTGAAGAGAACAACTTCCAAGTTCTTGCATGTTCATACTCGTCTCTCTAATTCAATGCATCACAAATAAGAGAGGCATTTCATTATACTCCAAAGAATGGAATAACTCGCTTTCTACTCAAAAAACATATGAGAATCCATCATTTTTTAAGGGAAAAAAAGCGCTTTGGTATCCACAAAACAAGCAGAAACAGTAGGCTGTTGTCTACCCAAAATCCAAACATGCGCATTGGCATCCACAAAACAAGCAGAAACCGTAGGCTGTTGTCTACCCAAAATCCAAACATGTACCTTCCCTGGAGTATATGATGATATGTACCTGCTTCACAGTAAATTATATGTTCAGACATCTATATAACTCATAAACTGAAGATTCAGAGTATGTCATCTTTGTCATTCCTAATCCATCGTCAATCTGAAACCAACTTGGTATGGTCATCAACTAATTCACCTAACAAAATTTATAAAAACAATTGATAGAAACTTCCAAGACAATGTTAATCCAATAAAATCCAGGAGTATAAAGCAGTCCCATGCATCAATACAAGCAAACAATGTGTTCTGCTGCATCTCTCTCTCTCTCTCTCACACACGCACACACAGAGGGCATGTTAGATGTGCAATTGCTATTCTAAAAACACGTACAAATAAAGCATTTGTGACATAGCCCTCGCACACTAGGACAGGCACATTTTTGTAATGGTGTTATAAACTAAAAGTGCATATTGTGGTCGACGAATGAGAGTACTTCTTAGACTGCCATGATGCCATCTACAACAATTAATTCTTTTCCTTTTTCAGTGGGAGGGGGAAGGGGGGGAATCATACATTAGCATACTATTTTTCTGCCAGTTATTGTGCTCTATTGATGCACTTGGGTTTTGTTATGTTTCTTAATCTTGTTTTCTTAATAATTGAATTCAGGAGATAAAATAGATTCCACAAGAGGAAATCTCCTCTGGCAGAGAAAGAAAGCAAAGCAGATGAAGAGACTACAAAAGCAGAAGTTGACCAAAATGTAAGGCGACTGTACAATCACAAGAGAAGAGCACAAAACATTAACGAGCTTAAAATTCTCATTAAAAGCCACAAAAGATAGTTTCTCTTGGAGATATTTGGCCTCTGCACTTCAAGACCGTAGCCACTAAGAGAATCGTGATCATTCCCATTGCTCTATCCCAAAGCACCAAAGATCTGAATAAGTAAACAAGAAAGAACAAGATATGACATGGGCATTCACTCCCAATGCAACCTACCAAAATTTATTTGCTTGCACTCTTTATGCCCCTTGGAAAAAAGCAACCAATCCCCCTTTCAGGAGTGAGGACTCACCCAGGCCCCAAACCCAATGCCCTTGAATAATAAATGAAAACTCAACATGAACAATTTAAACTTCAATACTTTTCTAGGAAGGCAGCATTCAAGCACTACTAAGAGATCTTGGAGACAACTATGACCCCTGTAGTATCAGTTCTTGTCTTTGTCCTCCTATTCTTCTGGGAATGTATAGTAAGGTAGTCTTATAAGTCTATACTTCAGAAATCTAGAAAGCCAGATAGGAGAGATTGATACTGCAATGTGGAAGCATGCTTAAAAAGCAAAAAAAATTTTTTTTTTTTTTTTTTTTTTCAAAACAAAATTTTAAAAACTTGCTTAAGATTTTACAAAGGCATAGGTAACATCATAAAAAAAGAACAAAGTAACCAAAATCGTGTCGTTAGAAGAGGAAATACCCAATATTCTACCTCCAAGTTGCACTGTCTTGCCACTCAATATTCCTTCAAAATTGCAAAAACATGAGCATAAATTCTCGAGCTGCACAGAGCAACAATTTAATATCCTAGTACAACAACTGAAAATAAGAAAGCATGTTAACAAATGTGCTGAAAAGTATAATTTACAATAGGAGAAAATACACAATTGCAGGGAGGAAAGAATATATCATGCATTATTCTAGCAGACTGGCACAAAAATCTTCCATCCATCCATACAGCAAATGTGAGAAGGGCAACACAAACCTAACAAGCTTCACCACCAAGCAGTAGCTTGAGTGGTATCTCCTCCACCTCCCAAATGGGAGGTTGACGGTTTAAGTCCCAAATGGGGCTTAGTGGGTGTGTGAGTGTAATTTACCCATTACATTTTCTTTTCCTTTTCTTCTCAAAAATAAAAAATAAAATTGAAGAGCTTAAGTTGCAGATTATAGGAATCAAGATTTGTAACTTGGGCACAATTTCAGGCTAAGGCAAGAACCAGAATTCAGCTTCAATTTTATAACCATGCCAATCTTATGGGTTAACACACAATAAGTAAAGAGAAGCAGTAAAACATGTAAACCGTTACATAATTAAATATCAGAAACAAGAAATCCGGACAACATGCATACACTAATTAGATTTCCAATCAGAGCAGCCTTGAACTAAAGTGTGCCGACCCACAGCATATCATCTCAATTGTTTTAAGACCATATTAATCAATTTTTGAACATTTGAAATAATATTCAAATTCATTTTTATTTTACTGAAAGCCTTCATTTAAGTTGAGAACATCAACAATTACAATGCATAAATTATACCATAAATTATACATACAACCGAATATATCACAAAAAGTGCAAGGATTGAGGAAATGCAATACCAAACCTTTTGACTGTGTGTGGTTGTAACAGACCACCATCATCTGCAAATGATGTCCTTGGTGACCCTAAAGTTGGATAGCTTAAACTCAAATCCTAGGTATAGCACACATTCTACTTTGGTAACCCTCCGCAAGATACTAGATAGTCCTCAACGAAGTAACTGCTACCATAGTGACAAGTTGCACTTTTCCCACTTTCAAACTACACTTCATCTTCCCTCTCCATGACTTGAACCCAGGACATTGATTCTACTCTATACCAAACGAAAAACCTGTTGAACATGCCAAAAGTCCCAAAACTAAACTAATGGAACATGCCATATGTGTTACTTTTAAATTAGTTTCCACTGCTGTTCTAGTTAGTAACTTTAAGAAATTAAAACATTGTTGTAAGTTCTAAAAGTAACTACCACATGCCTTTTGGCTGAAGCTAACAAAGAAATTTGGAGGTTGAAAAAGAGTTCTGAACAAATATGCCGAATGATGTATAGTTGCCTCGTATAATAAACTTCAAAACTAAAAACTTTTCGAGTGGCCAATGTATCACCAAAGGTACCTAATGAAAGCTCACCATGTGGAACAAGCATCATATTCAATTACAATAGTGTCCACAATTACAGAAAATTTTATAGATGCATACATGGATTCATCGAGGTCAAGACATGGTGCTGATACTTTTAAGGGGAAAAAACCAGCACAAACATGTACTTGTAATAACTCATAAATTACATTGACTTTTAGTAATTTATCATTAAAAGGAGCACAATTCCCAAAAAAAAAAAAAAAAAAGAAGAAGAAGAAGAAGAGAAAGGGTTTCAAAACCTTATCAGAGCCAATTGCATGCATAGATGGGAGTGAAGCCAGTAAATTAGGTAGTTCACATAGGGATTCATGTGGCCGACCCCATCCATATGGAATAAAGGCAAGGATGATGATGATATAAGGATTCTAGAATTAAGAATGTGAGTCTCTCCACATGTCTAGTGGGACCAATCATCTTTGTCTTCATCACTATTCTGATTTATTTTTCGAATTTCTAACCATGGTACTTTCTACAGTCATGGTGGTTCTCTCGAGCCCTACTGAAACATATATCACCCAACTCTGACTAGGTCTCTATGGGTTTATCCATCTTACAATAATACTAAGAACTGATAACATATTAAAAGATTGAACATAACATTAAATCAGATTTCCTGCAGTTATGACAGAAAGGAAAATAGAATCACACTGGTCACATAAATCCAGTCCTTGTCATAACAATTACATGGGTCACATAAATTTTTTTTTATCATGATTAGATTGCAAGTTATATCGTGCCAGAAAGCGCAATTTAAGCCATAATTAACTCTGAATAGTATCTCCCTCGTTTCTTTGATATAACAGATCTCCTTTCTTTAATATAAGAATGTAAAAATCCATGCACGCAGAAAGACAGATATTTTTAACAGTTGTAAAGAGTTCAGAGACACCTTAGAAGTTATCAAGATACTCCTATAATCAATAACTACAAGCAGCAAATAATAAGAAGAGACAGAGAGACAAACAGACAGACAGGACAGGGACGGTTAACAGCATTTTGCCATTATGTTACCTCTTATGAGCATGCTGTTTCAACTTGCAACTCTGTGAACAGTATGAAGTGTTATATTTCTAGGAGACCTAAAGAATACACTCTAGATTTCTCTTTCAGTATGAATAAAATTCAAAAGCAAAACCATATAAAATATACATCATGATAAATGCTACATGCAGGAAATAGAAACAAAATTACTGAATTACAATCTAAATGGCAACATCGTTATCTTAGAGGCTTTGTTTGAGACCCTGCCAATTGGAGAAATTTACTTATATCGTGAGTGATTTTGAAATAAAGGATGTTATCCCATTCACATTTGAACTTATGTTTTTAAATAGTCAATCAAGTTGGGGTACATTAAAATTTATGCCTCAACATAGAGATAGCAATTATCAGAGAACTCACCAACTGTGAATGCCAGCTTGCAGAGTATAACAGGCTTCCACTGTGACTGTTAAGGACCCCAAAAAACACACAACTGATGAATACCAAACATCAAGCCTAGAAAAGAGATAATGAAAACATTTACTTAATGGATCGTACATAGGCCAACTAGAGCTGTTGTGTGAGTTAAAGTATAAGATATGTAAAACAATTCCAATACACCCACAAAAAGAATGTGCTTGGATAGGGTATCACACATATGAAAGTGGTAAAACAGGCTTGCTGACACGATCCTATTATTAAATATGACTAGCAAGAAAAGTATAGACCACAAAGCCAATGGCAAACCCACAGGCCAGTAAGTTAATATAGCACCAACATGTTTACTGTTAATTTTAATGTGAAACAGTAGCAAATCCAACCTGTAAGGGGCTTGCACCTTTTGCCATGCACACAGACATACATAATAAGATTTCATACAGACAGAAGATGCTTATATGAGAAGTAAAATAACAACATATCACTATAAAATAGGTTTTCTTATATATAAAAAAATGCAGCAGAACTGGTGGAAAACCATCACTGCATATACAACAAATACAAGAACTTCATTGAACACAGGAAACAGATATCATCACTGATACGAATGTATGAAAAAGCCAAGCTTTAAATTTGAAGGATTATAACATGGTTAACAAATAGTTATCTGAAAAAGTATGTGCAGAGAAGCCCAACGGCTGTACTTTACAGAACCACAAGGAGCAAAGACACCTAAAATCTTGTGACAGGCTCCAATCTTTGTATGCATAAATATACAACCCACTTCCAACTGTGAGAATAGATGAATGGCACCTAATAATTCATAATTATGTCAGAGTGGCTTAACCAAACTCTATAAAACTCTATACAATCTCCCCATGCCTGAATCCATTATCACCACAATCTGTGCCGGAGTCCAACTCACAAGGAGAATCATACCATTTGGGATTCTCTGGGTAGAAGCTGTCTACTTGTATACCGACAAGACCTACATCTGTCACTATAGTTTCATCATCCCTTGGGGGCTTGATTAGTTTAGAATCCTCGCAGTCAAGAATGCTTTTCTCATCAAACTCACTGCATCTTAACCACTTTTCCGGTTTACAAGTCTCTCCTAAAAGATCCTTCTCACTCCTACATTCTGTCCTAATCTGATCCCAAGGCCCAACATCCCCAAGAGTTTGCCCAAAACTGCCTTCATTTTCTTCAATCAATTCTGGTTCTTTACTGTCACCATACATTCCTTCATGGTGATGGTCACTCCAATCTGCTAAATCATTCTCTCTTACCAGCAAATCATCTGAATGCGGCTTGTCAGGAAGGAACTCAACTGGCTTTGAGCCACATTCTCCAATTGTTCTAAGTTTATTCACAATATCAACCAATTCCTGTGACACTGAAGCCAATAGCTCACACGGTATTTTTACAATTCTCCCTTCAAGCAAGCCAACTTCATTTCTGAGTTCCTGTACTTGCTGCAAAACGGAATGTTGCAAGTCTCCTTCACCCTTCCCCGTGAACCCAAAACCCTCATTCTCTGCTTCCTCAGTCATCCCATACACTGTTTCATCATCCGTCAAGAACCCACCCTTATGTCCAACAACCCGATGCATAATCCTGGCATTCCCATCCAAAGGACCTGGTTCATGCCCTGAATGCACTGCATACAACTTAAACACTGCCATCCCCTCTTCTTGATACACAAAAGTCTTATCCTTCTCATTGTAATTTGCAATAGGTACAATTGCCCTTATCCGAAACCCACAACCACACCTCTTCGACGCATATGGTTCTCTCTTCAAAACCTTCGACTTCTTAGATGAAGAAGGCTCCCCTGCCCTATGACAAGCATAATCCTTAACCTCCGCCATGAATGGCTTATACCTAATATACTTCTGCCTTATACATAACACAACCATATGTTTGGCTGCCAATTGCTGCAACTTACGGGGCACTTCCTTGGCTGGCACATCAAATGACTCTGTATACTCAAACCGTCTCCGTTTCGTGCGCATCCCGGACCTAGATGAGTCCGAGCACACAGGACACTCAGCAACACAAACCCTAATGAAAGATTCAGGAATGCCATAAAATTTAGCACCTACAGTCCAAACTTGCTTAATTTTTTCTATGGTATCTTTGAGACCTAAGTGTTTCAAGTCAGCATCGCTATGAAAACTCATAACTATGTCCTGCCACTGATTATAATGGGAAACGAATTGCTTCGAATTGTTCTTGAAACACAAAAATTCGTTACCGTTTGCGTCCACGTGCGCGTTGAGCTTGTCCTGGATTCGCTTCCACGCCGTCAGGTACGCCGTGTCCTCATTGCGGTCCTTCCACACGGAGCGCCAGCTCGCGAGCACAGGGGGCGGCGTTGCAGCTCGGATCTCTTCCGGAGTTGCGAGACGGCCATGGAGAACGCACCGGATCATCAGAGCATGAGATTCGCTGTTGAATGTGTAGAATTGGGTGGATATATGGGGCTCGGGGTTAATGTACGCCCGTGTGTGTAGTTTAGGGTTTCTGCCCAAAACAGCATCGTCAGATTGGGCGACAACGCTGCTACAAGAGGCAAGGTTGTGGTTAGTGGCGTCGTCGGCGTCCGAGGAGGTGCGACTCACTGAGTCGTCGTCATCGTCGTGGAACAGTACTATTTCAGACATAGGAGGGAGAGAGAAGGGTTCTTCGTGGTCGTGATCATGACGATGGTGATCTAAAATCGACGGCTGGGAATCGTTGTGATGATCCATGATCTGGTTGTGGTGTGGGTCCAGACGATAGTGGTTGAAGAGAACATCCTCTTCCGTTTTGCTTGGATTCATATCACCTCTCACCCGAAGCCTTTCAAAAAATGGTGGACTTTCTCTCTCTAAAAGTTCCTCTCGCGACAGCTCTGCTCAGCTTCTCTGACATTGGGTTCCAACACAAGGGCTTGTTTTTTGTTTCTCTCACCCTTCCTTTTTAACACTCTCTCTCTCTCTATTCGTTTTAAAATCTGATGATGAGGTGCTGTTGGTTGGAATGCTTTTAAATTAGGGGCTTTTGGCCTAGGCTACAAAATTACAATATACAACTGCATATGAAACTCTTTTAACTCACCAAATTATTTATTTATTTTTTCATTTTTCAGTTTGGCTTTTTTTGTGTGCCTTTAAATTAAATTGTTGATGCTGTTTTTAGCATGACTTAATGTTTTAAGGTACCAAAATTTGTACAGGTACTTCTTCATAGTAAAAAGTTACTAAGTATTTGAATATTTAAATATATTTCTTGTGAAGGTAAAAATATATACACACACACGTGGTGTATGATAAGTTAAATTATATGGATCTTTTGTTAGATTTTCTGTTCATTTTTTAACGCAATTAAAATTGTATTTAACTCATTAAATTTGACTTAAATTTAGTTCGAACTGAGTAGATTTAAAGCGTTTAAAACAAGTTCAATTATATTAAAGACATCTACAATACCGTACAACACACCAATTTAGTATGTACATAAGTGAGAAAGTATTAAATTCCCTAATTTAGTAAATTGAAATTTTAGACATTGTGATGTGTCATGCCACTCAATAATTAAAATTGTTTAAAATCACCTAGTTTAGCAAATAATGTTTGAACGGTGAACAGTTATGGCGGGTTATTTTTCCTCGCCTTCCAAGGTAAAATAAAAAAAGATTAATAGTTAAAAAATAATACATATAGTGAATTATATGTCTAAAAATGCGCATGTCAATTTTTAACTAATTCAAGTTATGATAATACTGTGAAATTCAACTTAAAGCATCCTTGTCTACACACGTAATTACTTGTGAGATAAATCTAGCTTGAAGCTGGGTTGCGTAGATCCACCAAAAGAGGCCCATAATAGGTAGGTACTCTTGGACCCACAGGCCGAAGAAGCCGATCAAGTAAGGTTTGTGGAATCAATTCATAAGTGACCCCCATATTTTTAACCAATAATAGAAGCATTTTGTTCATTTGTCATGGCATGTGCTCAATCCAGGACTACTAGCGACTTAGGTTAAGGATGGGCCCAATAGCATTGATTCCGAAGCCTCTTGTGCCAGAAAAGCCCAATCTACTTGACAACCTTGTTAACAGGGGTGCCAAAAAAATAAAAAAAAATCGTAGAACTGAACCGAACTGGAACTGATGCTTCGATTTTGGTTTCGGTTTCTGAAATTTTGAAACCGTTAAATAACGGTTCCGGTTCCAAAATCCTGAATCGGAATCGTTAAATAATTATAAATATTGTGTTTTTAATTATATAATTACTAATATATATATATATCTATTGATGCATACAAAGAGATATATAGTTAACTATGTTCCCATATACAATATTATACATAAAAATGCACTATGAATGGGTTTAGAGTCATTAATTATATATATTTTTTTAAAAAGCAACCGGAACCGTGGAACCAGTTCGATTCTGGTTCCGATTCCATGTCTCAACGGTTCTAGTTTCGATTTCAATTTTTAAGAACCGTTAGGACCGGTTTCAATTTCAATTCTTGTTAAGTAATTATTATATAATTCATAATTACATGATTATGACATAATACTTAATCGTTGAATATATACAAGAAAAAGTTATATACTAATGTGAGAGAATTGAACCCCACAACAAGTGATGGATCCCACTATTACCTCGTCAATAATTTAGCTGTTGGCCGATAGCCGAGGCTTGTATAGCATTGTTCACGTAAATTCTGACATCCTAGGTTTAACTCCCCCGAATGCAAAAATAACATGATTTAAGTGATATGTGTAGGGTTCTTAGTTATGAAAACAACAACTGTGAAAAGGTTCCTAGTTACGAAAACATAACAACAACAATTCAAGATAGAAGGAACTAGAATTAGGGCTTGTTTAGTATACGCTTTGCTTTTATTTTAGGAAATGACCATTTTGCCCTTTGGCTCATTCTTGTCTGTTTGTGAACTGTTGCTTCCGCACTTATTATCTTTGAGTTCCATGGCTTCATGGGGAGTCATATTGGTGCCTTAGGGATAATGTACATCTCTTGAGGCCATTTTTACGTCTTTTTCTTCCGCATTTCTGGATCCGGTTCAGGTTATCACAGGAGACACTAGGTTGAAAAATCCAGGGTCGTCACACGATCGGCTTATGTGGAAATAAGAATTTGGAAAGGAGATATTATTATATGTTTTTCTCGTACATTTGATATTTGGTGGTCCAATGAAAATTTTCCGATCAAAAAATTTTATAATTTATTAATACATTTTTATAGGACCATTTTTTCAATCTGAGAATTTATATTTAACTAGTTCATCAAATGTTACTAATCATGACCATTTAATAATTTCTCACCTTAAAAAGGACGAGTGTGATTAGCTGGTGCTTTTTTACGAAAGATTGTGTGATATTGTGCCTTCGTGAGAAGTGAAACCCTATGTGTGTGTATACACGCTCATTTAAACGGCTCCTATTCGGTGGTGGTGAGTGAGGACCACCTGCACGAGGACATGTTGGATTGTGGGGCCTTGCGCGCCAATTAGGTAAGCGCAGGAGTTTTAAAACGACTCTTTTTACTTCAGAAAGAAATCCTCTCCATTCGCATCTCACTAGAAAATGTCCAGTGGTAGGCTCCTCTACTGATATGACAAAGGTGGTAAAATGGGTAGGTACGGTAGTTTTTTTATACCATTTACGTACATACTTATTTATAATACTCCGCAGCTTCTACCCTTTCTGTACATAATACATCATTTCAGTTTCAATTTGAAATTCCCCCCAAAACGAAAATTGAGTTTGCCCCAAAAAATGCCATATATAAACTGATTCTGAAATATCTCTCTCTTTCTAACATCCAAACCGAACTCCTTGATCAAGTGCAATCGAGAAACAAGGCAATCAAGATATAAAAATAAAGATTTTGGAGAAGAATAAGCTGAATGATGATGTTTTCTGGAAGGCAAAGAATCTCCCTGTTCAAAGAAGCTCCGAGAAGGGGAATCTGACGTTTTCTGGAAGGCAAAGGATCTCCCTGTTCAAAGAAGCACCGAGAAGGAGAGATTCCCCTAAAAAAATTTCAGTCCGGCGAGAAGTTGAAGCTCCGATCATCCAGTCCGGCGTAATTTATACATCTTCTTTATGCACGTATTATTTCATCTTTCTAAAATCGTATTTGAGTTTCAATTTTCAATTTTTCCCCAATAAGAAAGTTGATCTTCCCTCAAAACTCTACTATATATATACTGTGAATGAAATATCAAATAGGAAATTCATCTCTGAAATTTGAAATTCGGTGAAGAAACTCTCCCCAAAACTCTGCTATTTATGTTTATGTGTAAAAAAAACTCTCTTAGTGAAGATAAAAAAGGCATAGCAAACAAAAGGAGATCTAGTCGGAAAAATTCACATATATTCCGGCAATAAGCTAAAATTTCTGAAAAGTAGAGATTCCCCCAAAATATTTCTGATAGTCCGGCGAGAAGCTGAAGCTCCGATCATTATAAGTATTAGGTTGTTATTTTGAATTTCTTATAACTTTATTCATAATGATATATCAAAATTTATCTTATATTAGTTGTGATTTACTTTTTATCATAGTATATAGATCAATTTATTGTACTCATAACTTATTTAAACATGTATCATGTATAAATTACATATTGCATCAACATATTTTCCTAACACGTTAAAAAAATTATCTTCCACAACTCAATTTCACAATTTCTAAACTAATAATAAGAATCACAAATTTTTTCAATATATATGTAGGAAGATTTTGCATATTCCATCATTTACTTTTTGTAACAACATACAATACAAAAGTTTGAGAGATCAAATTATTATTATCACAATTTTTTTTTTTAACGTGTATCATGTATGAATTACATATATCATCAACATATTTTCCCAACACATTAAAAAAAAAAAAAAAAAATTTAACTTCTACATCAAATTATTATTATCATAACTTTTTTAAACACGTGTCATATATGAATTGCATATATTATCAATATATTTTCTTAACACCTTAAAAAAAAAAATATTACTTTCACAACTTAATTTCACAATTCCTAAATTAATAATAAGAATCACAAATACTTTCAATATATATATATGAAGATTTGCATATTCCATCACCTAATTTTTGTAACAGCATACAATACAAAAGTTGGAGAGATCAAATTATAATTATCACAACTTTTAAAATCATGTATACTGTATGAAGTGTATATAACATCAACATATTTTAATATCACGTTAAAAAAATTAACTTCTACAACTCAATTTCACAATTCCAAACCTTAAAATCTATATAATCAGTCAATTATTTCAAAATCTTAAAATCTCAAATAAATTTATATTTGGATTATGAACTATACCGATACATAATCAATGTTTACTATTTGTAATTTTAGTGAAAAGTAATGGAATAAAATGTCTTTGTATATAATATATTGTTATATGTATATTTGGATATGGAATTGTACCGATATATTTTTGTATATAAGATGGGGATTTGTAATTTTACTGAAAAAGAATTGAATAAAATATTTTTGTATATAATATATTGTTATACGTATACTTGGATACTAAATTGTATCGATATATTTTTGTATTTAAGATTTGTACATATTTATTTGTATATATGTAATGTATAAGTGTATGCGGTATGGAGATTTGTAATTTTACTGAAAAGGAATAGAATAAAATATTTTTGTATATAATATATTGTTAAACGTATATTTGGATATTGAACAATACCGATTTATTGTTGTATATAAGATTTGTATATATATTTTTGTATGTATAATGTATAAGTGTATATTGTATAGTTGAATTACGATTTGGTTGCTGTATTAGTACATCTGGTAATAAAAAAGGACATCAATAACTTTGTTCACTAAATTGCTGAGTGGGCGCTGAGTTGGAGGTGATTAGGCGGTAATGTGACAAAAATGGTGGTTTGATCTTAGTCCTTAATTCTCAATGGACCTGCTCCAGTGAGAGGTGCACTGGAGC